GATTCTTGACTTTTCTCATTGAAGTGTTCCTGGCTTTTGGTATGATGATTTGGTATGAAGTGTTCCTGGCTTTTGATTATATTCTGGACATTTTGGGCATTTTGAGAATCTAGCTCCTTAAATCTTCTAATTTGGCAGGTAGTTACCCTATTTGGGTTTAGAACATACATCTTGGTCCACTTTTTCTTTTCTTTTCTTTTTTTCTTTTTTTTTTTTTTTAGTTGATATTTTTGTTCGTATGTCAACTAAATTTGCACAGCATTTACAATGCTATTCTTGTCTGCCCCACTTGAGTGCTACTTAGAGGCCAGTCTGAGTCCTAGTTGGCATTACGCACTGTCATTCACTTCTAAAATCTTTTGCTGTTTGATTCTGGTCCATTGCATGCATAGTTCTCTTGGGAGACCCCGCAGTACTTCATAAACATATATGTAAAAATTAATTTTCTCTTGTTCCTTTCTCTAGGTAATCTTTCCTTCATTTTGACAGGTATTGTCAAAAGGATTCTGTCTGGCTCAGTGCTTCTCCTTTCCTGGTCTTTTGGTTAGAGAGTGGTCTTTTCATGGGATTTTTATGTTGTCTGCTTCTTTTGTTATTGTTTTTGGGCTCGGACACTCTTCAGTCCCCAGGGTATATGGGTGGAAAAATAAAACAGAGAACTTACTTCATATCCTTTTTTGAGTCCTGAAGTCCCTAGCTAATTTGCCTTTTATTCACCTTTCAGAGTTTTCTGATATTTGTTTTATGTATTTTGTCCAAGGTTTTTAGCTATACAGGAAGAAATATGGTAAAATGTGTTTATTCCATCCTGTCTGGAGATGGAAGTCACAAACCCTAGGTTTTTTTTTTTTAATCTGAACAGCTGGAAGGATAGAGTTGCATCAGGTGGGTAAAGGGCCTGGATAGAACAGGTTTGTGCATGAAGATCTGTACTTCAGTTTTGGTCATGTTGAGTTTGGGATATCTACTACTCAACAAGTAGAGATATTGAGAGGGCAATTAGATAACCAAGTCTAGAATTTAGGAGAGATATTTGGGTTGATGATATAAATTTGGTGTAATCAAACATATATGTGTTCTTTAAGGCCACGGGACTTACCACTGAATTTCACAGTGTACAGGTTGCTGGTGACTTTGGTAAGAAAAGGCTAAGTGAATGGTGGTAGAAAGCATTATTGATGTGAATTTATGAGACAGTGGAATAGAGGAATGGGATCATGAATAAAGGGTTCTTTTGAGGACTTTTGTTGCAGGAGGAGCAAATTAATAGGGGAGTAGTTGGCAGAAGAAGAAGGGTTAAGAGATGGTTTGGGGGCAGGGTGTAAATTTTTTTTTAAAGAATAATATCATGCGTGCTGTTTGGAATGATCCAGTTGAGGCAAAAATGATGTAGTAGAGAGAGAGGAGGCATGTTATAGTGATTCCTTGAGTATATAAGAAGGAATGGGATCAAGTGCACAGAAGGAGGTATTGGCTTGAGATAGCAGCAGGAATCATTCATCTATGGTAACAGGTGAGGAAGTAGATATGCAGGTGCAGATGTGAACAGTGTGTGAAAAGTCTCTTCACTTCTCAGTGAAGTACAAAGCATGGCCATCTCTTTGTGAGGATGGGGTAGAAGGCATTTGAGGTTTGAGAACAGAAGTGAAGGTATGAAATAACCAGAGTTAGGAGTGAATGGAATATGGAAATGTACAAAGGCCCACCAGAATTTTGTTGTCATGAAAGTAAAATGCTGCAAGTTAGAATGACTATGTGTATAGAGGGTAATCTGGTGGGAGAAAGAAATGAATCCAGCTTTAGTCTCTCACTACTCAGTTGCTCCTTTACTCCGCACACACCACCCCTCATTGTCCTATTGTTCTTGAAGACCTGTTCTTGAACTATAAAAAAGAAACATTGCAACAAACTTAAGGTGGCAGTTCCAAACATGTGTCCTGTGGCCACATAGAATATTTTCAAATTGTGAGGGAAACACAGCGACATCTGTTGGAAACTTCATGAACTACTAGCTCAAATAGTACACAGTTTCATTATTACACAGTGAAACATTCCTTTCCATTACATAATTTAATTGAATTTGTACTAACTGGGCAAACAGTTAACCAAGTTTACTATTTGTAAGTGCTGAAAAGGCTGTGTAAAGGTTAGACAACCTGAGCTTTTCACCAATGATGCATCTTGCATCACAACAATGTACCAGCTCACCCAGCACTGTCTGTGAGGGAGTTTTTAGCCAGTAAACAAATAACTGTATTGGAACACCCTCCCTACTCACCTGATCTGGCCCCCAATGACGTCTTTCTTTACCCAAAGAGAAAGGAAATATTGGAAGAAAGACATTTTGATGACATACAGGACATCAAGGGTAAACAATGACAGCTCTGATGGCCATTACAGAAAAAGAGTTCCAAAATTGCTTTGAAAGGTGAGCTAGGTACTGGTGTCAGTGCATAGCTTCCCAAGGGGAGTGCTTCAAAGGCGACCATAGTGCTATTCAGCAATGAGGTATGTAGCACTTTTTCTAGGATGCGTTCACGAACCTAATTGTCAGACTTTGTGTATATCCATGTGTCTGAGTGTGTTACAGGACTTTGCAAAGATAGTCTCTTCCTGATCTATAACTGTGAGCTTCCCAAGTCAAGATTTGTGCTTTGTGAATTTTTGGGTCTGGTACCCAGGACAAAGTCTTACACATGCTAACAGAGAAAATGTTGCTAGAATATGGAAATTAATTAATGGCATAAGATTTGCATAAGCAGATGTACAATAAAAGCTAAAGAAGCTTGAGCTTCAGGGCCCCAAACATTTGTGAAAGTGAGATATTTTAAATGCAATTAATTGGAAGTATTATCTCCTTCCACTTTGACCTACTCTCCATCACATCTGACTTCATGTTTGGTGAGATTACAGAGGCTGCAAACATTTTTGGGATTGGGCTCAGGGGGAGCTGAGTTAGGATGTATTTAGTTTGGGTTTAGTGAACACAATGTTTATGTGATTGACTTTCACAAATTTAGTAATATTTCTACTGACAAAGACATTTGATGTCTCAGTGCTAGTTCTTCACAAGAATGAGTCACTTGATCCCTCCCTATCATTTATGGTAAGACATATTTCAGCTCTAACACCTCTAACTATAGAACAACTCTATACAACATATATCTATATAACAGCTCTATAGCTATAATAGCTCAAATTTGCATTTCCAGAAGTGACAGTTAATCACTGAATCAATACATTTTATTTTAAAAGCTGCACACTGTGCAATCTATTTGAAGGCAAAAAAAATAGGTTGTGGGAAACTCGGCAAAACAAAGAACATGGCTTCATCAATTTGAAAATTTTCACGGAAAAAAAAGCGATAGAATGGGAAACCTATGGATTAAAAGAGCTAGCACAATGTGACTTTCTTTATATCCCAATTCAAACTATTAGAAAGTGACATTTATGAGATAGTTGGAAATCATCTGTCTGAATATTTAAGAAAATATTACTTTTTAGATGTGAGATGGTTATAATAGTTCTTATCTTGTAGAGACATATAAAATATTTATAGAGAGAATTATATATCTGTGATTTACTTCAAAATACTAATGGAAGAGAAAAGTATGAAAATACTGGATCTGATTGTCAAACCCAAAGGACATAACTCATAAGATGCCAAGGTCATCATATTAATGACAGAATCATTATATGATTGTAGTTCATGTCTTGAGGAGTTATATTATGTTAATGTCAAGAAGTAAAAATCATTTCAGTTCCTACTAAAATTAAAAGTTACATGTAAATTGTGTGTAAGATACTTTGCTTAGTAAAAAAAAATGTTCTATAATTTTTATTTTATTAAGCAATGCCCAAATATTCCAAGCATAGTAAATACATGTTTTTAAAAGATCAAGTAGCATTTGTAATAGAGGCAGTATTGTTATCCTTAGTATGAACATAAGGTGATCTGAAAAACTGTCTTTTGTCTTGTCATTGTAATAATAAAACAATTGTAGAATTTGTATGAGCCAAAAGATTTTTTCCAAGTGAGACCAATACTTTATAACATACTAGGAATAAGCCAGTACAAAATAAATTTTAAAAAATTCCCTTAGTGCCCCAAATCCCATCACCTGCATCCTCACCCTCGCCCCCAAGCCCACATTTCTGTGTTGTTCTTCCGGCAGTGAGCAGCAGAGGGTCATCAGCCCTGAGAGCAAAGGTGAGGGTGCACTGCTCAGGGTCACACTCCAGGTTCACAGCCCCTCTGCCAACAGGTGAGCCCACTCCACAAGCCAGGGGCCATGAAGCCCAGGGCGGTGAAGTCATGTGCTGGTGGTAGTAGGACAGGTAGTGCAGGTAAACTTCCTGCCTTTCTGCCCCTCCTGGAGATGTTCCTGGGCAGTGACACAAACTCTGGAGTGAGGTCCCAAAGCAACTTGATGCCCTGTTGATGGCAGATGGTAATCGTGTACAGGTCATCAAGCTGCTGTGGGCTCCACTCGAGGTCAGGGATGAGGACAAAGCCATCGGCAGGATCTGGGTTCTCGAGACCAGTACTCACCCCTTTATTTTGTTACAGTTAACATTGTTGAACCCTCACCGCTATTTGAAACTCTCCCTTTAGTCTCGATGACCTCTAACTTCCTGGTCATTGTCTCTCAATCTCATTGATAAACTACATTTCCTCCAATTCATCCTTCAGTCATTGATGTGGGGGTGGGAAGAGGGCTTCTGCATCTGTAGCATCTGTAATCCTCTCCTCTTGGGATTATGAGGAGCAACAGCACAAACTCAAGGGAGATGTCATTCATGGTAGGACCAAACCCAGTCATCTGCTTCCCCTCCTAGTCTACCAGAACCGCTGCATAAATCTTCTGCAGAAATAAAATATGTCAGTTTAGAAAACGCTTCATAAAGAAACCACTTGACTTGATATGATTTTATTTTTCACAGAATAGCACCATAACAACCAGCTTTCCACTTCAAATGACCATAGATACATGGTAGTATCAACTTGGATGAACTGCGTGAAAGGACTCTAAGAGTGACCCCAACAACTTTCTGGATGAACTCCATATACTGCAAGAACTTGAAATCTTTGCCACTAGGGGAACTCTGACGTTTCTCTTCTTTAAAGTTTTTTTGGGAATAATCCAGCGAATGGTTTTGGGTATAATCTCCAGTGAGTCTGCTGGCATACAGGCGTAAAAAAATGGCTGGTTGTGTTTTCCTTCAGAATGGACGCTGCCATCCTCTTGATGAGATTTTGATGCTGACCTGTGTTTGCTTGGGAAATAATCTACTCTTTCTGACTCATCACCACACGCGTTCTTCTTTCTTGTGCATTTCTCTTTACTCTGCATATAACTATAATCACAGTTCCAATGAATGTTCTTTCTAAATACATCAAATTTGGCCTTCTTTCTTTTTTTGCTTTCCAGATGTCTGTGAGGTTTGTCTTGGCTTTTTCTAAGATGTAATTTAATATTTGATTCTGTTAAGGGAGCTAAAGTGTAATTTGTTCTGTTTCTTGTAATCCATGAAAACTTCTCTTCACTGAATGAAACGGAAGATGATACAAATGGGACTTCTACAGTGTTGAGTGAACGGTGACACAACCAGTCAGGAGATTGCATTTTGGAGGACGACGACCTATGTTTCCTGCTTCTGCAGGATTCGTAGGAAGGTGGTGTCACAATTGAGGAATGTTTTCTGCAGCCTCTACTATGATGGGAACCTGAATCTTCACTGTAAAATGGTTTCAAATCAGTTTTGATTTTTTTCATCGTGTAGACATTTTCCAAAGGAATGCCTTTCTGTAATTCAGATGAAATGTTTTGTGATTCCTGACTTAAATAAGGGTTGGCTTCTGAAAACAAACATTCTTCACTCTCACGTACTTCAAGAACTGAGCACTCCTCCAAGTCAGCGGAACTCTCAATAAATGTCTGACGGTCAGTAAAACCTTCAGAAACCTGAATTGAATGAGAATCAACTAAATTAGGAACATGTTCCTGAGTCTTTAAATCAAAAGATTCATGTGTATTTGTTTCTTGAAACCATACGTGACATTGTTTATCTTTTTCTGGAGTTACATGAGATTTTAAAAAAGCTGTAGTGCCTTTCTTCACTGTTCCACGTTGTTCAGGGTTAGAAGCACACACATGGGTTGGCTCCAGGAATTTTCTGATCAATGATGAGTTTTCATAGGGACTGTGGTTTTTGAAAGAGCAATGTTTTTCTAACAGTTCTGTATCAATGGAAAGACTATCACTTTCTCCACTATTATCTACTTCTTTACATATTGCAACTGTGTTTAATTTAATAATATGTTTGGGAAGTGTTTTTGGCTTAGGGGACATACTTTCTACAGGAATCCCCAGGAAAAAACGAAGCTTTTTGTATTGCAAATCAAGATCTATTTGATGAAGAGGTTTTTCCTCAAAAAGTAACAAAATTCTGTTTTTTTGTTTTGGTTCTTTGACACCAGAATGAATATGTTTAGATCGAGATTTCCTTCTACCCTGAGCATCGGCCATTGCGTAAGATTCTATTACAATCCTGGGAAAGGCTTTCATTTGAATTGCCAATGTTTTCACAGAAAAGTGTATGAGAAGTTTGTCTTTTTCTTCTACTGGGTATTTCTGGAGAATATGAGACAATGGCATCTCATTAGCAGAAGTCACTGCAGATGCTCCACTTTCTAGCTTTTTAATACTCTTCAACTTTGTAGTATTCTCCTTGCTGCCACTTGAAACATCCACAATCAGTGTCTTCATACAGCTGACCTGAGGTGAATCTTTTCGGTATTTGTGTTTTAAGTTAAGATCGATAGTATCAATCCCTTCTAGAGGCAAAAAGTACATTTTTTTATGTCTTGGATAAAGCCTCCAACTCTTTTCTTCTGAAATAGCCAGTTTGAGATAAAAGTTGAACTTTTGGAAGGACTGTTTTGCCATCTCTGGTATCAGATTCAGTTGTATTTCAAGTGCCTTTGACTCCAAATGACTGGCGAGCTTATTTTTTAATTTGGGAGTCAAACATTTTAAAATGGGTTTTGGCTGCAATCTAGGATGTATCTTCGTGGATGTTGTATCTGGACCCCATGCAAAAGGTGGTGACTTCCAATCCTCAGGTTTAAGGACCTGTACTTTTCCCACTATATCAGCATAAACTTTGTCTTGGGTCATATTTTTTAGCTGGGACTCAAAGACATTTTTAATTGCTTCGTAAAGAGGAAGTAAACTTTCTGCATTTGTACTATCTGCCACTATTTTTATTTCATTACTTTTAACTTGGGGTGGTATGGGTACAGTTCCTGAAAAAGGGTTTTGTTGTTGGACTGTTTGTGTGGTTGTGTTCTGGATGGGTTCACTCTGACCCCTATGCACAGGTGGCGAGGCACACTCCATGGTATCAAATAGATGAGTCTCGAGTTGTGCTTCTACTCCTGGAGGGGAAATACTCATAGTTAGGGTACTTTTCACGTGGGTTTCCACATTTTCCTTTGGATCTTCAGATACGCATGGACACTCTGTGGGTGTCAGAATGGGTTTTGGCTCCTTTTCTTGTTGCTCGATCATAAGCAAGTCAGGTTCTTTTGTGATCCTTGAGATAACATGCCCTGGAACAACCCTTTCTTCTGTTTGTGGAGTTAAATTTTTCTTATTTATTTCACTGCTGAGGTTTGCTTCTGGTTTGACACCAGGAAGTTTTTGCATTTGCTGTTGGTCCACCACGAAGGGGTAGGAATCTTCTGGAACTATGTTTGTAAAATTCTGGTCCCATTTTTTTATAGTGCTTGATTTGTTCCTCTTAACAACTTTACTAGCATTTGGTGACTTCTCCTGGAATTTAGAAAGACAGATTCTCTTTTCTCTTTTTAGGTTCATCTCAGATTCTATTGTTTCTTCCGTCTGAGATGGACTCATCATGGAAATAGAAAGACTTCTGATAAATATTCCTGAGGCACCTTCCTTCCACAAAGCTATTTGTTTTGGTTTGTTAAAATCATACTCTAATTTCTTTCTATTGCTTCGAGTCCCGTGTCCTGTGTTGCCAAGAATCTGTAATACTGGATGCTTTGGGATTGTCATGGTTGAAAATTGGGGGCACATTTCTCTTTTCAAATCTGCTATTGTTAATCTGCCTTTCTGGCCTTCAAATTTGTGAGAAAGAGGAATATAGGCATACAGTGAATCCAGCATATGTTTCTGAAACAATTTTTGTGGCTGAATGTTTTGTTTTGCATTACATATTTCCAGTTTCTTTTTATGTTTTTGCTTGATTGGGCAGCTGTTTGCCTCATCAGTGATGACTTGAGTCTTAACTTGAGATGTCTCTGCTTTTACAGATGGAGCTTTCAGGTTTATAGTATTGCTTGTATCCATTTTTATTATCTCCTTCTCCAAATTGACAATGGTGTGTTTGTGCATTTCTATTTTGTCCTCTTTCAGATGGACAGCTATGTTTGTGTCTATCTTTAATTTCCCGTCTTCCATTTCTAATTCTTTTTGGTTTGCATTTATAGTCTTGCTTGTGTCAGTTTCGTTTTTCTCTTTCTGATCTCCAGATTGAAGTGGGAAAGTCCCGCGGGGGGAAGGAGACTGCTGGAGCGATTTTAGAATGCATTCGTCTTGTTCTAGGATAAGCAGTGCCTGTACTTTTTTCCCTCGTGTGGTATCCAACTCTGTAATACCCATATGCATTCCTGGTAGTGTTTGTATTCCAGGGTACATTGCAGTTTGCTCATGTACCCCTATTTCCAAGGGTGTCTCCTGCTTTCCATTTTGAAGTGCAAACTTAAGAGAAAGGCTTGAGTTCAGCCTGGTCTTGTGTCCACTCTCAATCTGCTGTACCCCCAGCTTTTTCATGACAATTTCTTGTTCTTCTATATTTTGGTGAGTATTTGACTTTTTGATATGCATTTTCTTAAGTGACCCCTTTATCTGTTGTGCTAATACTTTGGAAGAGAACATTTTGCTCATGTTGTCATTACTTTGTACATCTTTCTCTGGCTTATCAAATTTACATGAATCTGCAGAGCCTAGAGATACTTTTGATAATGTTTGGTGGTCATCTTCCTCAGAAATAGAAAATGCTTTTGAACTTACAGGGGTGCCCAATGTGACACATAGTTCCTCAGATATTTCCTTTGGCAGTGAAACTGAAGTCTGAGGACCTGTTTTATGCTTTAAGTGATCCATTATTTTGGTTTCTTTCTTCAGATTTTCAATTTTAGTTGGATTCACTGTGGGGTAGGGAAGAAATGTAGTAAAAGTTTCTGGGTTGGACTTTTCTGGCTGAGCCTTTAGCCCTGTACAGAAACATTCTGGCCTTTTTCCACCTCTCAGGGTATCCAATCCTGTGAAAGGAATGTCCTCGTGCTGTGAACTTACAATTAACTGACTCAGATCTCCTTCAGATTTGGCTTGTGGCATCTCATTCCTCCGCTGTACACTGATCATAAAGTTTGAGGTCCACTGTTGCACTGCCTCTTCTCGTGGTACAGCGCATCCTGCTTTTTTCAGAACGATTTTACTACCAGGAACTGACTCTCTAATAGCTGTTGTCTGGGTATCTAATGATTCCTGGGGTTTTTTCTGCAGACAAGCGGATCCTCTCATTCTTGGTGTGTCTTTGTCTCTTTTGCTCCCTGAATCTAGATAAAGGGGAGGTGCTGATGGGATGGAAAGAAAAGTGCTTGTCCGAACCATACATTGTTCGTCTTTATTGTTGTGCACTTTTTCCTTCAGCTTTTTAATATTCAACACAAATTCCTTTGTATTAAATATATGGGAAATTGGTGAAATCCTGGCCTCCTTGTGTTGCATCCTGATCCTCATGTCTACTTCATGCATTTTTTCTTTCTGTGATATATATTGTTTTCTTTTCCTTACACCACCACCAATTGCCTCTGTATTTACTGTCTTCTCGGCATCTGATAATGCTGAAAGCCTTAGTGGAAATAGACAGGGTCTTTTAACTCTAAGCCCTTCTCCATCTACTTGTGTACCTTTATCCAACTTAAGGTTAGTTGGAGGAGGTTTGGAAACATACACTTTTCTTAGCACCATACTGGGTGGTTTACCTTGACCTTCATGTTTCTTCTGTTCTTGCCTTCCAATGTTCAAATGCACTTCTGTTCTATGGAGCACATATGGGGGTGATTTCTTTGACTTCAAAGTTCTATCTGTGGTATGAGTCAAAACTCTCACAGCTACTGTTTTTTCTCTGTCCCTCTCTTCTTTCTGAGGTACATGCTGTTTCTTGCTTTGAACATCTTTTATGATCTCTCCATTAATTGGCTCAGGATGTACTATTTCCCCCGCATTTGATATTCTCTGCAAAACAGACCTTTTAAGTACTAGCATTTCATCACCTACTAGTATTTCTTTACCCAAATTGATGTGAGGGAGAGAGGGTAATGAAGTAGGAGATTGGGTCAGGAGCACACCTGGTTCATCTTTCCTTTCCTGTATCTTCTTTTCTTGGTGTCTGGGGAACATGAGGTTTATTATCTCCACTCCATCTTCTTCCTTGTCCTGTGGCGTGCACTGTTTTCCTTTTTGTGGACGGATCCAAATATCGCTTGTAATTGGCCCTATGTATACCACTTCCTCAGAATCTGCTAATTCCTGGACGTGTACTGGGGAAACAGAGGATCTTGTTAATGTGGGTGTGCTCTTTTCCTTGATTCTGGTATCCATGTTATGGTGAAGCGGGGAGGGTGTAGAAGCACAAGTCTTAGTCAGCATTACTCCCACTGGCTCACAGGGAGCCTCCCGAACCTTCCCCTCTTGCTCTTCAGTTTTCCATTGCAGGTCCCCCAGATTGCATGGAAGTAAAATAGGTGATTTCTTTGCATTCAAAAACATATCATTGGGATCTACTACACCATTCACATCTACTTTTTTGTCTCTATCCTTCTCTTCTTTATGTAGCATGTGTTCTTTGAATTCTTTTATATTACTGGAAAGTTCTCCATCAGTTTCTGCATATGCTATTTTTGCTGCATCTGATAATTCCTTGGACTGTAGTTGTGGCAAAGGCAACTTCGTAACTCTTATCATGTACCCCTCTTCTTCTGTTGTATCAAATTTAAGATATGGTAGGGTCAGTAAAGAAGTACAAATGTTTTTCACATTTGTAACTAGTTTATTTTTATCTTCCTGTACCTTTCTCTTTTGCTCTTTAATTTTCCACTGCAATTCTTTGGTATTGAGTATATGTGGAAGTGGTAATTTCTTTGCCATCAGATCCATATCTATTGGGAACATGTTGTCTTCAATATCTATTTTGGGTCTGTCTTCCTCTTTTAACATATAGCCATCAAATGACTTAGTATATGCTTTTTTGCCTGGATTGGATGGATCCTGACTCTTCAGTGGTGGAAAATGGGATTGTGTTTCTCTTAGTGTGTCTTCCTTTCCATTCATTCTAGTCTCCTGTTTCAGGGGAGATGGAAAAGGTAAGGAAGCAGAAGTTTTCCTCAGAACCACTTCTGACTTACCTTGGCCTTCGTGCACATCTTTCCATTGCTCTTCAATATTCAAATGCAGTCTCTTTCTACTGAGTAGATGTGTAAGTGGTGATATCTCTGCTCTTAAAGTTATTTGGGGGAATAGCCTACCTTTCCCATCTTCTATTTTTACTTTGTCCTTTGCCTCTGTACATGGCATATGTTGACTAACTTTTATTATTACATTACATGAGCTGATCTCTTCATTGGAATCTGCATATTTGATTTCCTCAGCACCTGATGACACAGGGAACTGTAACTGTAAAGGAGACAATCCTGTAATTTCAAGCAAGTCTTTTTCTACTTTGTTTCTGTTTTGTATTCTGTCCTTTTCTTTCTGTGGTAGATGCTGTTTTCCTTTCTCTACATAGCTGTCAGTGAACTTTGTAAAGGCTATTTGCCCTGAAGACAATGACTGTTGGAACTCAAGACATGGCACATAATTTCTTATTATTCCTGGTTCACCTTCCTCTTCTTTTATTGCATCCAATTTAGGATGTGTTAAGGAAGTAACAAAAGGACAAATTTCACTCACAATTGTGTCCTTGTTACTTTCCTGCCCCCTTTTCATTTGCCCTTCCATATTCACTTGCAATTCTTTTGTTTTGAGTATATGGAAAAGGGGTGATGTCTTTGCTTTCAAAGCTGCACACATGGGATGCATTGTGTCTTTCTTAAAAACGTATGCTTTATCCTCTTCTTTCCGCATCATGTATTTTGTTCTTTTTGAATCACTTGAGATATCATTCAAAGATGACACTGTATATTTTAATTTGTCTGCATCTGATGATTCCTTCTGCCATGAGCACGAAAGAAAGGGTCTTGTTATTCCTCGCTTCTCTTCCTTGCCTTCTCTACTTTTGTTGAATTTAAATTGAGGTAAAGAAGGTCTTGTCAGAACTTCATCTAGTTCACTTTTCCTTTCCTGTGTGTGTCCCAATTTTTCTTTTATGTTTGTCTGTACTTCTTTAATTTGGGAGCCACAATCTCTAGGGGTACCAAGTACACGTGGAAGTGGTAATGTCTTTGCCTTAGAAGTTGTGTTTTTGCAGTACATTATATCTTTTGTAGTTACTATTTTTCCTCCTTTCTCTCCTTTTTGTGGCTCGTAGTCTTGTCCTGATTTTACATCTGAGATGATATCACCCCCAACTGACTTTGTATATTCTCTTTTCTCTGCATCTGATGATTTGTGGTGTGATAGTTCTGGAAGAGAGTATCTCCTTACTTCAGTTAAATAGTCTGCTTTTTTTATTTTTGTATCCAATTTTAAGTGAGAAGCATCAGGCATGGAAGTGCTGGTATTGGTCAGAATCACACTTGATTGACATTTAAAATTTTGTATCTTTTTCTCTTGCTCTTTGATGTCCCACTGGATTTCCTGTGAAATGGATGATTTCATTTTCTTCAAAGGTATGGCTTTTGCCATTTTTATTCTCTCATCTTTTTCCTGCATTGTATGTTCTTTGGCTTTTTTTACACTGTTTGAGATATCACCATAAAGAGACTTTTTATACACCATTTTTCCTATATCTGCTGACCCCTGAAATTTTGGTTGTAGAAAAGAGGATCTCGTTTTTATTAGCATAGCTGCTTCTCCTTTTATTCTTATATTCACTGCAGAGTAAGGTGGCAAAGAAATGAAAGCACAAAATTTGCTCTGCATCCCAACTTGTTTATCTTTATCTTCCTGAAGCTTTTTCTCTTTTTCTTTGATGTTCAACTGTAATTCCTGTGCAATTGGAGGCTGCTTCGCCTTCAAAGCTATTCTTTTGGGATGCCTTATGTCTTCCAAAGCCATTTCAACTCTATCTTCCTCTTTATGTGGCCTAAATTTTGCTTTTTTAATACTGCTTGAAGTATCACCAGTTGGCTCCTCAAATATTTCCACTGCATCTGTTAATTCTTGGAGTGTTAATGGAAAACAGCATCTTGTTATTCCTCGCATATATACTCCTTTTATTCCAGGACTCTGTTCCAGGTAAGGTAAAGAAGGAATGGAAGCATGGGCTTTATTCTGAACTACATGCAGATCACTTTTATCTTCCTGCATCACTTTCTCTTGTTCTTTATTTTTCCACTGTGGTTCTTTTCCATGCAGTATGTGTTTAAAAGGTGTCTTCTTCCCTTTAAAAGTGATACATTTGAAGCCCATTATGTTTTTCACATATACTATATTTTCTCTGTCTTCCCTCTTTTTCTGTGGCAAATGTTGCTTTGGTTTTATTACATTGCTTAAACTATCTCTATTAATTGACTCTGCAAATGATGTTTTCCTAACATCTGACGATGCCTGGAGCTTTAGTGGTGGAAGACAGCTCCTTAGTATTCCTGCTTTATCTTCTCCTACTTTTATTCTTGAATTCCAATTAGGACATGATAGAGATGGTAAGGAAGTACATAAGGTTGTCAGTTTCACACCTGATTTACCTTCACCTATCTGCATCTTGCTCTCTTGCTTTATTTGCACAGGCATTTCCTTTCTATCGAGTGTATGTGACAGCGATGATTTCTTTCCCTTCAAAATCACATTGAGATTCATTATTCCTTTCATATTAACTCCTTTGATTCTATCCTCCTCCTTTGTCTGTGATATATGTTGTTTTGTTCTTTTAAAATTATTTGTGATAATCCCATCAACTGTCTGTGTATTCAATTTGAGGTGAGGTAAAGCAGGAATAAACTCATATATATTTGTCACAACCAAATCAGGTTTACCCTTTCTTTGTTTCTTATTTACCGTTTTCTCTTTTATGTTGCACTGCAGTTCTGGTCTGTTGCCTGGGGTACCACAGTCAGTGATATCGAGTGTACTTGGAAATACTGATTTCTTCAACTTCAAAGTTCTTCTTCTGGAGCATATTATGTCTTTCTTAACTCTTTGCTTTACGCTATCCTTCTGTATTTTACTCTCAGGCAAAATAGGCATGAAGACAGAAGGAGAATGTGAAAACATTCCAGGTAAGCATATATCTTTTTGTACCTTTTTTTGATATGCCTTACATAATGGCACCTTCTTTCTAATTCTTAGCCTAGGGGAGCTGCCATTAGATGTTAAATCAATTACCTGTGCCCTATCCAATGATTTCTTTCCTTTTGGAAATGAAACATTCAGATGTTTTATAGTTTCACTGCATGATTCTAAAGGCAGAGCTGCATTTTGTTTTTTCATTTGCTTTGGAGGAATTGAGGGCACAGTACATTCCAGTTCATACTCACATACAGTATTTGGTTGATCTTTAGAAAACAAGTCTAATCCTGTTGCCCTGCTTGACACACTACCTACTTCTGATAATGCTTTCTTTGTCTGAGGCATTAAGTTTTGCCGGAGCCACGGATCATTTTGAGGGTAAGACATATGCTCCAGAAAATTCTCACAGGGGATCAACAGGTGCTGTTGTTTTTGTTCTATACTGAATAAGTTTTGTCTTTTTTCACTTTTTTGAGTATATCCAACTATGTCATCCATTACTTTTAATGCTTCTTTAGCTTGTGAAGTTAAATATTCACAATGCATCATGTTTGTGTCATCTGATTTTACTTGTTGCAATGGGGTATTAATTTGAAGTAGACCTGTTTTGGAGTAGGATGCAGGCTTTGGAAGCATCTCACATGTACATTTTTCTTGCTGTTCTCCTTTTCTTGTAATAAGTGAGCCAATTCCTTCTGCACTTAGAGTGTAATCCACAGTGCTAACCATTTCTTCTGATATCTTCTTTTTACATGGCATCTGACTTTGAAACATTTCTTTCAAAGAATGAGACGCAAGCTTTGTAAAAGTCTGGTGTATACATTCTGGTTGCTCTTCTTTTCCTTCTGTATTTGAAGTGTGCTGTGTTGGACTGTCTACGGCCTTGAATGCTTTCTTTACCCATGGAGACTTAATCTGAAGTATATCCAATGAAGAATAAGAAATAGATGTTGGAAGAACTTTGCACATACTTTCTTGTTGATGCTCTTTTCTTCCTCTAATGTGCAAATTAATTCCTTCTGAGCACGGAGGTTGGTCCACTGGAATACCTGCTTCCTTTGACGATTTCTCTACCGTTTGACCCAAAACTGTTGATTTTATTCCTTTTGCTGAGACTTCTTTCTTTAGCTGTTCAATATGGAGATGATGCAATATACAAGAGGAAATGGATTCCACAATATTTTCTTTAGAACTATTGAGTTGCTTTGCCCTTGTTTTTTCTGAAAAGTTCATTTTCTGTCTATTTGATTTTAATGGAATATCAGTTAACTTTAATTGCTCTTTTTTCCATGGGTTTACATCTAAGCTTATAGGGATGCTAACATTTTCTTCCCTTGTTGTATTTACTGACTGTTTTACATGAAGAGGTTCCCTATTGGGGCAAGATACAGAATCCAGAATACTTTCAGGGATGTGATCTGGTTTCACTGCAGACATATTTTGCTCTACTTCTAGATTTATACAGGGAAATTTCTGTCCTTGTAAGATATCAGTTTCTTTTAATCCTTCTCTTCCCAATAGATGTGAAATATTTTTTCTATTAATGTACATGTCTTTCTCAGCTACCTTTCCTGTGTTTTCCAAATTAGGAGGTTCCGTAATGGGGCAGGCAGTAGACTCCAGATTTGTCATTGAAGTATTTCCTTGTTTCAGCAGTTCTTGCTCTTTGCAAATCTTCTGTTGAGAAGCATCCAACTCTGTAAGGAACATATTCTGTCCTTTTGAACTTAATGAATTACCAGTTTTCTCTGATACTTCTCTCCCCCATGGAAATGAAACTGAACATTCGACAATGTCTACATCTCCATCCTTTATTCTTGGTGCAGTAAGGAATTCAATTTCTGTATGTGTTCTAATTTGGGGGATGTCAAACCTAGTGTAATTGATTTGCCTCTCCTGTGAGGAGAGATCAAGATATACGTCTCTTCCCAAATCTACTGCTAATTTGACATGGTCAGGCTCTTTCTCCACTTGTTGGTTAATCACTAACTGATCTCTACCTTGTGAGAGAATGTCTAGTAAAACAGTTTGGTGGTTATCTTTTTGCTCTGTAATATATTGTTTCAGTGTTTTAATATTTCTTGATATAACACTCTTATCAGTGGACTGTGAAGATGACATTTTTCTTCTTAGTGATTTGTTCAGCTTTAATGGTGGAGGAACGCGTATCACCTTTCTTGACTTGTCTGTCTCTCTTTTTACTTCCACAAACCCTTTAATTTGAGATGGAATAGATCCAGAGTCACAAATAGGGCTCAAGACTAAATCTGCTACAGTTTTACCTTGCTGGAACGCCTTCTTCTGTGTATGAATGTCACATCTCAGTTTCTTTTTGTTGCTTTGGGCTCCATATCCTGTAGTATTAGGCATCTGGGAACCAAGTGGTTTCTTTGTCTTCACTTTTGCCTGTTTAGTATGTACACTGTTTTTCACATTTGCTGCTTTTGCAAATTTCATCCTAGGATTTCCATCCCAGAGAGTGTCACATTGTATTGAATCAGTCTCTGATTTCCCTGCTTTTGAAAATGGAGTCTTTAGATTCCAAAAATAGGTAAGATTTTTCCTTTCTGGAAATTTTAATACCTTTTTCTGCCTGTTAGACTCAGACAAAACAGACGTTGTAGACACTGTTAGTAATTCTCTTTGCAAGTCTTCATGGTTCTTGGCAATAGGACCTCCCACTTTCCTTCTACAGCTTTTATTACATGGCTCTCCAAGCACTGAGCTCCCTGACTTGGTTGGTGGGATATTTTGATCAACTGTGTATTTTATTGTTTTTATGTCTTCCTTTTCTTCTTCAGATTGTAGGTAAACTGCACTGTTAACATCCAGCTTTCTTGTAGGGCTCCCATCAAATGTAGTTTCATTGATTAAAAGATCATCAAACATTGCTTTCCCTGGTTTTGGATGTGGAATCTTTTCACCAATTCTATGTCGTATGGCTTTTTGTGGTGGAATATTCTTCTTCAGATTTTTAGTTGGGATCAGTGGAGAACAAGTCGACTCCAATATATTTGCTGAAACCAGTGTCTTTTGTTGTACTTCTTGCTCTACAATAAGCATATTTTGATCTTTTCCACTTCCTATACCATTCAGGAATTGTAGATGTGCTTCCAATAACAGTTCGTTGCCCTCTTTTTCTTTTTCATTTTGCCATCTTGATTCTGATGTGTTGTTTGAGGTACTCCATTTATTAGAGGCATATGTATTCAGTGTTTTCCCTTCATCTTGCTTTAGATGTGTAATATTGGTTTTTATTAATGGGCCTTTCTTTGCTTTTACTTTTTTATGCGTTTTGACGGCAGGTGAAACAGGTGTAGATGAGAGAAAGGTATTTATAAATATATTTGACATACCTAGAGGTATTTCTTTGGTCATGTTTTCCAAGATGTGATCCTGTTCCTTTCCATGGCGAAGGGCACCAGACCTAGTGACATTAACTGTCCTTAAAACTGATGCCATCTGCGCTGCCCCAGTTCTAGACTTACGGATTTGTGCTGCATTTCCCTGCCCTTTAAACTCAGATGAAGCTGGCATGGAGACATCAAAAGGCTCTAGGGTTCTCTCTTGGAAATCCTTTTGTAACCTTATCTCTCCCTCTGGCATAGAACTAGCAACTTCCTTCTGAGGGCTTTTCTCAAATGGGAGGCCACTCTGTGCTGTAACAATTAAAGATTCACTAATTGACTTGCTTGGCATCAGAGATAAAATCTTTGGACTCCCTGTATCATTTAATCCTTTTTGTGTTTCTGTTCTTTTTGGTAGCTTCTCAAATGGAAGTAAATTCAAAATAGAGCAAGAAATAGAACGCAATACACTTTGTGTGAAAAGTGTTTGTTGCTGCATCTCCTGTGCTGTGGGGAGTGATTCTGGGACTTTTTTCCTTGCTGAATTCTTCAGTTCTAGATCTGATTTCACAAAGTGAGGCTCCTTAATTTTATGAGCTTTGAAACTGAAGTGTTGAGAATCCCGAGGAACTGCTTCTCTATCTTGGACTTCCTTTGTGCTCTCTGAGGTGCTGTCCCTCTTATCACTAGAACCAGCACACCAGGCTCTCTCTCCATCTGGTGACGGCTCTTGCTGTCGCGGTTCATGACTGAATCTCATCTTCCAGGGCATGTCTGTTTCAACTTTTATTCTCTTACGTACTTTCATGTCAAGTGAAATAGGCATGGCAGAGGAAATAGCATTTAGCATTATATGCGCCACAGGTTTACGTTGCTTCATCATGGTTTTGAAGTTGCATTCAAATTGCCTTCCATGGATGGGTGTACCACGTTTTGTGATATTAAATGTCTGGGAAGTTGGTGACTTCTTTGCCTTCAACGTTACACATTTGGGACTCATTTTATTTTTCTTGTGTATAAGTTTTAGAATGTTTCTCTTAGATGTAGGTAAAGCAAGTGTTGATACATCCAAAGACTCGAGAATCATTGCTGGTAATTCTTGTGCTAATCCTTCCTTTCTCTCTACTGTAAGATCTTCCAGTACCGCAAAATGTTTCATATAAAGTAAAAAGTCAATAATCTGTGATTTCAGGGTCTTGAAAGGTAGGTTTTTTAGACAACCATTCCCTGGGATGGTAAATATCTGTGAAATTGGTGTCTTCCTTGCCTTCATAATTACACCTTTGGGACTCATTCTAATTTTTAAGGCTGTACATGTAAATGTCTTTCTCTGCCTTTTAGATTCAGATGGGTCAGGGGTGGTGACATCCAAAGACTCCAGGACAGTGGCTTGTTGATCTTTTTTAAACTCTGTCTTTTCCTCCTTACCATGACTGTACAGTTTCTCTGTGTGGCTCCCATCACTTGCATCACTACATGTCATTGTATCTATTAAACCTTCACCAACCAGTGATTCCTTTGACTTTATTAGAGGAAACTTTGAACTTGCTGTATATATTGTGACATTTTGTGTCTGGTGGCTTCTCTTTGGTTCCTCTACCTGCACTGGATCTGTAGGCTGCATTTGTTGTGGGACATCTTGTTCTACAGCAAACAGTATTTTCCTACTTCTTTTGTTTTCTGATTTGTGAAGGTCAAGCTCCGCCCTCTGGTCTGAACAGAATACGAAATGCTGGCTGTGTTGCAGAACTACTTTTAATAATGTCTCCTGTTCACTGTTTTCTTCCTCTTCACCTTGAAGATTGGTTTCTTTGGTGTCATCTGAAATAATATTCCCTTCATGTGATATTGCTTGCCTTCCTTGTTTAGAACTCAGTCTTTCTTCTCCTAACCTATCTTTTTCTCTTTCTATCTCGCTATACATATTAGTGTCATGTATAATACTCATGAAGGAGCACATTTTATCTGCCATTTTTTTACCTTGATGCACTTCTTTCGTTTTGGTTGTCAAGTTAAATCCCAGTTCTTTTCTATGGCTTGGACTACCCTTGATATTGAGTATGTATGAAATCGATGGTTTCTTTGCTTTTAAAATTTCACATTTGGGATTCACTAAAGTTTTCATGCCTAAATATTGTTTGAAGTTTCTCTTCCTTTTGGATGTAGAACAAGCAGGCATGCAGCAATCAAAAGTCACTGTCTCTTGCTTTTCAATATCACCAGCCTGTTCCTTTGGATGGTTTGCTTCAGATGGGACACCACCCTCTCTTGTAGAAAATATGATTTTATCAATCTTTGCTTCCCCTGACTTTGGAGGTGAAAACCTAGCACCATTCTCTACCTTTCCAAATTGAAAATGATCCAATATGGGGCATGGAGCAGAATCCAAAATAGTTTGTATACTGTGCATTTGTGGTTGTGCTTGAATATATATACTTTCTGGTTGTTTCAGTTCCTCATCTGGTTGAACAAGGTCACGGTTCTCCTGATATGCATTGACTATGAAGTCTTGGTTATTCTCTGGAGCTGGTAGAGCTTCATGTTCCCCTTCCACCGCCTTCCCATTTTTCACACCGATAGATAAACTACTCATGTCAATACAATCTGGGCAATATACTTTTCTTCCATTTGGTGGCTTCTCTTGCATTAGCTGCATATGACCAAGTCTTGTTATCCTCTGAATGTCTGTCTCTACACTTAATCTGCTACTCATTTTGATACTAGGAAAAATAGGCACTTTGGAGTGAAGGGTATCCAAATATGTATCTGCTACATTTTTATTTTGCTGTGGATTTTTCATCTTTATTTTCAAATTGCATTTCAGTCCCTTGCTCTGACTGTCATTAAGCATATGTGAAATTGATGGCTTTTTTCCCCTCATAGTTCTATGATTCACTGTTATTTGCTTCCTTGCTGTTCTTGATGTTTTTTTCTTTCTTTCAGATTTAGGAACAAAGGGCTCGACAGAATCAGAAGACATCAGGAATGTTGCTTGCAAATCTTTCTGTAACTCTAAATTTTTTCCCACAAAATAAGAATCTAGTTGCTTTTCAGGGTTTCTGCCAGATGATAAGCCACACTCCGTCATCCTGTTCAAATGTTTATCAAGTGATGAGTTACCTGCTTTGGGAGGTGGAATCTTCAGACCCATATTAGCTGTTATGGCATTTTCTGTTTTGTTGGTTTTCTGGGGTTCCTCAGCTTCTCTAGGACCTGTCTGGAGGTCAGTCTGTAAAGCAGTTTGTGTAACACATGTTTGGTACTGCAGCTCCTGTGTTAAACAGTTCAGTGCTGGGTCTGGTTTGTCAAGGTGGGTCTCCTCCCCTTGACATGCATCAGCCGAGAAGCATCTGGTATGTTGAGGAGCTGCGTCTAGCAAAGGTTTCTGCTCCACTTCCTCTCCGTCTTGCACTTTTGCTTCTTTGTTGTCAAATGCATTCCTCTTATCAAAGAAATCAACATACCGTGGTCTCCCTTCATCTCTGAGTTCTCCTTGCTTTAACTGCGCATGACAGAAGCCATTTGCCTCTCCTTGTAATCTGCTATGCATGGGAGAATAAAGGGCATTTAGGAATTCATATGCCAATCCATTAGCTTGGTTGATTATTTCAAGCTGGGTCTTAAAGTTGGATTCCAGTTTCTCTCTGTGACCTGTGACATTAAATAATTGTGAAACTGAAGGCTTCGTTGTCTTCATTGGTATAGACTTGGGTCTCACTGTACAATTTATGTGTGAGAATCTTACCCTCTTTTCCTTCACTTTAGAATGAGTTAAATCAGGCACGTGGCAATTAAAAGTCTCTGGGAAAGTTGCGGGTAAATCTTTTGGTAATTCTGCCATTGTTTCTGCAAAACAGTAATCCATTTCTCTTGTATCACTTCCATAATCTGAAACATCACTTTCTCTTGTTTGGTTTAAAGGGTCTCCAATGAGTGATTTTTCTAATGTATGAGGAGGTATCTCAGAATCTGCAGTGCATTTTAAGTCTGTCTGTGTTGTTAGGCTTTTCTTCATATTCTCAGCATGAGATGGGTCCATTATGAAGGAGGAAACAGACTCCATAATGGTTTCTGCAGATGTGATTGGTTGATGATTTTCTTCCTCTGTTTTAAGTTCCTTCTCTGGATGTGCATCCAATCTGAGACTCCAGCTATCATTAAGGACTGCTTTTGGTGGAGTTTCCTTGTTCCCTCTCAGTTCATCTTGCAATTTAGCTTCTTCTAGTGTGTTTCCAGAGTCACCTTCTTTATTAATTTCTTCCCTCTCAATTTGTGATTTCTCTTGTTTTAGCTTCATATGATGGTGATTTTCTGCATTTAATCTGCTGTGTGTTCTAACACGAGGCAAAATAGACACGTGAGAGTAAATGACATTCAGACGCACGTCTGCCATAATTTTAGCTGGAAGCATCTGTTTAATTAGGATGTTTAAATTGCCGCTCAGTCTTTTTCTAAGACATAGAGTACCATGTCTGTTGAGATAAGGCATCAGTAAAATTGCTGGCTTCTTTACTTTCATATTTACACATTTGGGATTGAGTACACTTATCGTTCCTGCTATTTTTTTTCTGATTTTCTGCCTTTTAACATATGATAAAGGAAGCACATGGGTAACGAAAGACCTCAGGTCTTCCTTTTCTTTTGCGATATGATCATCCGGTGTCTGTCTGGGGCTTTCACCAAATGGGACACCCCATTCTGGCATTTCTGTGAAAACTTCCCCAGCTGGTACGTCCTTTGGTACTGTAAGGGGAGTCTTCGGATCTGCAGTTTCTCTGCCTGTCGGTCTGTCTCCACTTTGCTTCACCTTCTCAACTTGAAATGGATCCATGGTGGGGCATAGACAAGTCCCCAAAATTGTTTGTGTAGAAAGAGTTTGTGGTTGTATCTCTTGCTCTTTATTTTGAGTTTTTCTACTTCCTGAACTGCTCTGTCCTATTTGAAATTCAACAGATTTGGGCTTCTGCTTTAGTTGTTGGCTGAACCCGAAATCTTGTGTCAGCTGTGAAACTGCTTCTTGCAGAATTTGTTCCTCTTCCTCTCTGTCATGTTCTTGTGGCTTTTTAAATACATATCCCTTCTCAATGCATTTTGCATTCCATATTTTCTTTTCATCTGGTAATTTTTCTTGCTTTACCACTGAATGACTAAGTCCTATTATTCTTGGTGTATCTGTTTTGGCTTTTAATTCGCTATGCATTTCTGTATCAGGTGGTTCAGAAATCATAGTGTTGGTGGCATTGTGAAATGCATCAGATATTCTTTTATCTTGCATATTTTTAATGTTGCTTCTAATATTGCATTCCATTTCCTCACTTTGATGTAATTCTTTCTTCTTACTATAATACTTGCATCCTAACTTGCTACGTTTTGAAGTGTGACATACTGCGATTTGAAATACCCATGAAGGTGGTGTTTTCTTTGACTTTGCAGATGGAACTTTGAGACTGGATTTAGTTTTACTGTGTAATGTTTTTCTTCTGTTTTTCCGCCTTTTAATGGCAGATGAAAGAGATACTAAGCCATATACAGAATACTGGTTTAATTTTGATGTAGCAATTTGTTTCTGGCTTTTTGGCTTTATGCTCTTTAGTTGTGGCATCCCTTTAGCAACTGAATTTGGACTTAGAGCTAAAACTAGAGATCTGGCATTTTTAAAAATAGTAGTATTTTGCCCCTGGATTGAATATCTGATCTTATATGACTCTTCAGACCGACCATAATATTGGACCTCATCTGTGGGATTTTTATCACACTCTAGGCCTTTGATTGAATCTCGAGTCTCAACAGAATATGGGACTTTGACCAAATGTTGGCTCCTGTCCATGGCTTGGGTCTGGAAGGGGTCTTGTGTGCTGCTGGAAAATGGTTTTCTCCTTAAATCTTGAGGTACAGCGAAGTGTCTGGACTCAATATCAGGCTGGCTGTTGATTAAGTCTTGGTGATTAACAAATTGTTGAGCTTGATTAGTAAATTGGGTTTCATAAAATCCTTGATTATGAATAGCACTTTGTGCTGGAAAAGAATCTTGTGCTTGGGCAGAAATATCCATTCTAACAGAACGTTGATTCTGAATCAAGGACTCTTGAGGTCTTGAGCACAGAGTAGTTTTACTCTCTAATGTAGCATTGGGTTTTAAAGGAATTTGATTTTTTAAATTTTCTTCCAGAAGTCTGACTTGGTCTCTAGATAGAAACAAATGGGCGGGAGGGCATGGTGCCACATCGAGATCTTCACTTTCTGTAGTGATTCCAGAGGTTCTTGGAAAGTTAAAGTCAGAGGAAAACATTACACTTTTATTTTTGTTGGTTTTCATTATTGAAAATAATTTCTTTGATGAACATTGTATTTTATTTTCATTTTCTGGATACTGTCTATGGCTTAGAAAAATTTTCTTTATTTCTGAATGAAATGGTGACAAAGATGAACTAGTCCCAGTTGAAGATGCCGTATGACTTTCACGAAAGTAATTTTTTTGATATTTACTTTCCCTGGTATCTGCACACATTATTTCATCTGCTGGTGAGACTCTTTTTTCAATGTTACCTTCATTTTCTTCAGATGTAAGTGATGAAGTAACTATTCTTTCTGAAAAGTCATCAACTCTGAAATACAAGAAAACAATGTGTAAATGAATTGTCACTTTTGTCACTTAGGACATATTTCATACAAGATTTCTCTTCTAGATTTAAGAAAACCCAATATGGCATATGAAAACATAACTCAATATAAATTGGAAAGTCATATCTACATTACAAAATAATTCATTACCTAGTTCCATTCATTTAATAAATTAATCCACTGACAAAGTGAAATAAATTATTTTCATATCTCAGAGGAGGGATTTTCACCTCAAAAACCTGTCCAAGAGTCTTTTTTAAAGCAATGAGTCAAAGTTGCAGGTTAAGATTATATCCTTTTACAAGAAATATCTGTTTGTTTCTGTTCTCTGTATGAAAGTTTTGACAAGAATAAAAATAGTCTTATGGAAACTTAGTAGGTACAACAGAAGAATGTCCAATACCATTAAGCACAGCTTTCCATAAATAAGGTCAGGTTATTTTAACAGCTGTTTATTTTTGATCAAGAAAAAACCCTGTGTTTTAGGGCAGTGCTTCTAGATTAACGATCATGAAAATGGACTCTCCACTATCCTTTCTACCTCAAATGATTGGTGTGGTCTAACAATACTCAGATCAATCATATCAGTGTCACCAGGAAAATTATAAGAAATGCAAAATCTCATTGATTTGGATTCTGCTAATTAGAATTTGCAGTATTTTATTATTGATTACTTTTTTCATAGGTAACACAAAAATATTCGGTGACTATTTAAAATATGTTAAATAGTTTTCAAGTTCTTGTAAATGTTATTTATTAACATTTAATATATAGACTACATATACATTTTTGTTATCTACTGGGATAATTTTATGTGTCAACTGGACCGGGCTGAAGGACACCCAGATTGCTGGTAAAATATTATTTCTGGGTGTGTCTATGAGGGTGTTTGAGGAAGAGATTAGCATTTCAATCAGTAGACAGAGTAAAAAAGATCACTCGGACCAATGTAGGCAGGTATCATCCAATCCAGTGAGGGCCCAAGCAGAACAAAAAGGTAGAACAGCAAGTTCTTCCTTTCTCTTCTTGATCTAGAATGTCCATCTTCTCCTGCCCTCAGACATCAGAGCTCCTGGTTCTGAGGCTTTTGGACTCTGGAACTCACACCAGTGTTGCACCCCCACCCCCTCCCCCACCCCAGACGTTCTGCCTTGGACTGAATTATATCACCAGCTTTCTTCATTCTCCAGCTTGCAGAGGGCAGATTGTGGAACTTCTCAGCCTTCCTAATCATGTGAGCCAATTCCTATATAAATCTCCATATCTATATATCTATATCTATATCTATCTATGAGGTCTGACAATTAAGTTCGCAAACTTGCCACCATGTGCTTACATTGGCAGTGCTGTATAAACAGCTCGGTAATGTTTCATAACCTTGGTATATCAGTGTCTCACAGCTGTGTTCGTGTCGATGTGTGGCGGTGTCTTGCTGAGTGGCGTTCATTATTGTAGTGTGTGTTTGTGTGCTGTCACAAGAATGTCTGGGCTTGAATTAGAGCAATGAACAAACATTAAATTTCTTGTTAAACTTGGCAAGAGTGGACGTGAAATCAGGGTCATATTAGTCCAAGTTTATGGGGATAATGCCATGAAGAAAATGGCAGTGTACAAATGGATTAAATGTTTTCTGAGGGGAGGGAATGTGTCACTGATGAAGAGAGGTCAGGGTGGCCAGTAACGAGCAGAACTGACAAAAACATGGCAAAAATTCATCGAATTGTGCATCAAAATCGTCAGCTGTGAGAAGCATAGCAGACCAAGTAAACATCAATAGAGAAACAAGAAAATATTAACTGAAAATCTTGGCATGAGAAAGTTGTGTGCAAAAATGGTACCGAATCTCACCGATGAACAAAAGCAAAGGTGAGTTGAAGTTTGCCAAGACCTTTTGGAGAGGCAAGATGATGTTTTGGGCCGTGTTATCACTGGTGATGAAATATGGGTGTACCAATATGACCCTGAAACAAAGCATCAAAGTGCACAATGGAAGTCAGCCAATTCTCCATGACCAAAAAAATCCGTTAGTCCAAATCAAGAGTCAAAACGATGTTGCTAACCATTTTTGATATCATAGGGGTTATTCATTATGAGTTTGTACCAACCGGACAAACAGTTAACCAAGTTTACTATTTGGAAGAGCTGTAAAGGCTGTGTGAAAAAGGCAAAAACTACCTGAACTTTTTTCCAACAATTCATGGTTCTTGCATCACAACAATGCACCAGCTCACATGGCACTGTCTGTGAGGGAGATTTTAGCCAGTTAACAAATAACTGTATTGGAACACCCTCCCTACTCACCTGATCTGGCCCCAAACGACTTCTTTTTTTACCCCCAAATAAAGGAAATATTGAAAGGAGGACATTTTGATGACATTCAGGACATCAAGCGTAATACGATGACGGCTCTAATGGCCATTTCAGAAAAAGAGTTCCAAAATTGCTTTGAAGGATGGACTCAGCACTGGCGTCAGTGCATAGCTTCCCAAGGGGTGTACTTCCAAGGTGACCTTAGTGATATTCAGCAATGAGGTGTGTAGCACTTTTTCTAGGATGAATTCACGAACCTAATTGTCAGACCTTATAAGACAGAACACATTCTCCCCCACAAAACTCTGCTGTGATTCCTCATTGCTACTCAGAATAAAAGCCACTGTCTTGAACATGGCCTATAAAGCCCAATCACAATCTGGTCACCTATTACTTCTCTGACCTTCTACATGTCACTCTCTCTCCCTCCCTGCATTAGACACACTGGCCTTTTTACTACTATTCCTCAAATATTAAGCACACTCCCCACTCCCCCATAGGGCCTTTGCTATAGTTGCTCCCCCTGTCTGGGATACTCTTCTATTACATATGTTTGGTTATCTCCCCTATTGCTTCAAGGCTTTAGTCAAATCCCATATTGCAACCTACCTCTCCTCCCCTACTTCTGGTACCCTGATTCCTCTTACTCAATTCTATCTTTGTTTTACTCTAAAACTTATCACCTTCTGACATATTACATAATTTACTTATTTATCATGTTATTGTTTATTATCAGACTCCCCTCCAACTAAAAAGTAAGGCAGCAATCATTGTCTGTTTTGTTTACTGATGTATTTCAAAGGCCTACAGAAATGCCTGGCACATAGTAGGTCCTCAGTAAATATTTGCTGAATGGTCATCTTTGCCTCTAGGTTTCTGATGCTAAAACTTGTGCACAACAAGCTGACCCAGACATACAGCCCAACCCTTTCTTCAGCAATACCAACAATTCCCACTTAAATATTAGGCACGTTGCTCCATTTCTGAAATGTTCTCTGGCCTTTCTCCACTAGGAAATCTCAACTGGCTTTTAAAAATTTTTTAAAGAACTCCCCATATGATTAGGAAAAGACTGATAGTTCTATAGCCATGGTAACAAGGTAAGTACCAGAGGTGGTAGTAAATCAAATAAATCAATCAATGGCATATAGTCATAGTCCTGTAGTCATAGCAACAAATAAACACAAAATCTGCTTTTTTTTTTTTAAGATTTTTATTGGGAAATTGGGGGAAGGGGAACAGACAAGTTGCTGTTCTTTTGTTCTTCAGTCTAGTTGTGGAGGACGTTGCTTCACTGGCCCAAGTTGGCACCATCATTGCGCTCTTCCCGGGCGAGGCAGATCAGTCACCAGCTTCTGGACGGCCGCTCACTGCGGCTGCTGGCTGCTCACGCTGGCTGCTCGCTACACACGGTAGCCCATGGCAACCCACTGCCACAGGGGCTGCAGCCTACGCCGTCGCTGGTGACTCACGGCAGCCCAGCTCCAGGTTGAGCTGTTGTTCAGCATCTTAGCTGTAGAGGGCAGTGTCACTGGCCCTCATATGTGGGATCCGAACCGGGGCCCTCTGACGTCCCAAGCCAGTTCTTAACCATCGCGCCACTCGGCCGGCCCATACCATAGTTTCTTAATCCAGTCATCCCAGGAACATATTTCTAAGGGTGAGGTCAATCCTGAAAGAAATCATTCCCCAAAGCCTGAGCAGCAGTTTCCTTTGGTCACTGAGACTGTGCCTGGCCAGCATGGCTCTGCCTGATTTCAGATACCAAGCGGTAGGCTCACCTTTGATGCCTTTAGGCCATTCAGTCCTGCTCCTCCCCCTCCCTGCCCACCCTTTCCCCTTTCTCTTCTCTCCCATGTCACACCAAGACAAAACCGACTCTGTCTCTGAAGCGATACACTGGAACCATTTTTATGCTTGGGCTTCTACCAATATTCAAGGCCTTTTAATTTCAAAATAATTTAAGATGCTTCCCAAATATAGTTCGGTCCCAGAAAGAAATTCTCGTGTCAGAGTAAAATATTTTTGCTTTGTTACACATATCATTTTAACTAATCTTCATGATATTCCTAAGAAGTAATTCCAACTGCTATTTTGAAAGTAAGGAAATGTAGGTATTTTGAATTTAACTCATTTGTCCAAGGCAGTAAGAGGCATAATGATATAAACCTAGACCTTTTTCATTCAAGCTTTGTGTTTTTTCACTACAATATGCTGCACAATATGTAGCCATATTTCTTCCCTGTCCTTTTCCCTCAACGACCCCTGCCCCATCTCTTCTTCTCAATTACTTTCCCCTAATGCCTCCTAGAAAGGTGCCACATAAGGATTAAATTCCCCCTAGGCAGGAATGAAATAATGGCACACAGGGATGGGGAAACTCTGAGGTCACCTTGATTCTGAAGCTGAAAATCCTTTTCTCCCCCTTTCCTCTCTTGCCTATCAGTCTTCAGGTTTTTAATTACAGACAGTCCCTGACCTACGAGAGTTCGACTTACGATTTTTTGACTTTGCAATGGTGGGAAAGCGATATGCATAATTACATGAGATATTCATCACTTCATTATAAAATAGGCTTTGTGTTAGATGATTTTGCCCAGCTATGGACTAATATAAGTGCTCTGAGCACATTTAAGGTAGGCTAGGTTGAGCTATGATGTTCTGCAGGTTAGGGGTATTAAATACTTTTTCAACTTACAATATTTTCAACTTGCAGTGGGTTTATTGCGACATAACCCCATCATAAATAGGAGAGCATCTATATATGTGAACCTTCAATACAGTGCACACCTAACCCCTGTGTACCTCAAACACTGACTTCTGGATAATCACTTATTCTGATTGCACTATTGATGTGCTCTAGTTTTTGCTGGCATTCCTCTTCCCAAACCATCTCTTACCAAGATTCTACCTGCCCATACCTCCAGGTATTGTTACTGCTTCCCAGGGCATCCACCCTACAACTCAAGGTGTTAGTACCTTGATGAAAATAGAGCCACAACGTTAAATGAATAAAGCCCCTTTATACCTGACAAATAAAAGGCATTATAGTCAAGTATTGGTCAGGTTCATTCTCCACACAGCTAATAGTGATCTGGCTGAAATACAAAACTCTTGTCACTCCTACACTTAACCACCTTCAGTGGTTACAAACTATCTACAGAGTAAAATCCAAGCTTCTTAATAGGTACAGAAAGTCCTCCATGATCTGACTCCCACCTACCTCTTCACATGCATCTCCCACTACCCGCTAACTCAACCTCAGCATTTTAGCCACTTTGAAACAATCATAATTTATTGCACATACCCTGCTGTTTTTGTTTCCTTGCCTCTGCTCACGTCCTGAAAGGCCTTTCTTCTTCTCCTAACCTGCTGTCTTTTTCTGGCCAATTTTCACATATCCTTTAAAATTCAGTTCCAGCATAACCTTCCTCATGAAGCCATCCCCAGAACCCCTATGCTGGCTTAAGTATGTCCTAAACGTTCTCATATTTTTATCACTGTGTTACCAGACTGCAGGGCACTTGTCCTTTAAATATTATGTCTCCTCCACAAGAATATAAGCTTCTTTAGAATAGACTCATTGTTTGTATCCCAATACCAAACACAATCTCTATTGTATATCTAATCATCGTTGGATTTTGATGAAAACTAAAATATTGATAGCAACAAGAGTAGCAATGTCAGTATTTAATCCCTTGTAATGATATATCATTATGATGCTGATGAATTCTGATTGTATATAATAAAGTCCTTTCGTGTCACTCCTGCAGCACTTAGCTCAGGGTTTGCTTGGTTCACAGTAGTGCTAAATGAATCTTTTTCCAACTGAATTATCAGAACTGCTGATTACTACTTCTTTGTGTGTATTGGAGAGCAAGATTGGTGTAAGGAAGCAAGTCACTTTAACTTAAGCATTATTTTCCTCATTTATAAAAACAGCAATAATACTACCTATTTGGAAGGTTAATTTCAATAATGTATGAAAAGCCATTAACACACTTTGGGACAGAGCAACCATTTAAAATCAATGTTAGATTGAATTATGATGTTGAACAGCTGTGGTTCTCTATACATATGAAAAAACCCTCTTCTAGTACTCAGATGTAAATTGAATTTTGAATAGAACAGAACCAACCTGTTTCATTTAATTTCAAAACATAACTCTTACCTTTCTTCTGAAGATGAATGAGTTGACCAATTATCTAGAGATAAATGTGAATAAAAAAAAGTCAGAGCACAAATGGGAGAAGCTCAGGCTGAACAAGGTTTATATTAAAATATGATATTGTATATTTACCAAATGTCAGGCTTTTCAGGGAACTGTCGTCATTCTATTTCAACAGAGACAACAAAATGTTAGAGGAGTAATCCAAATAGCAAATGTATTCTTATGTGTGATTTTGAAAAACAGGAGAAGGAAATCAACCATTGTTTCTTACCTCCTGAGAATCCGAATTACCCTTTTCTGCAAGTGCAGGCTTTTTCTGAAAGGATGTACAAATCCTTAGGAGTAGGATCTCAAAAATAATTCCTAGGAAAATTATAAAGAAGATTGCCATCCAATCATTTTGAGAAGTCCAGGACTCTACAAAGTCCCATAAGGTCAAAAATATATTATCTTCCACTCCATTTCTCACAGCTTTTTTAAACAAATAAAATTGCTTTGACATTTTTATGTAATATGTGAAATCGATTGATATCTCATTCTGAAGTCCTTGATTTCGGATGCCCCCAAACACAAAAAGGTGGTCTGCTCATCTCATAACCACATGCAACACTCTGCCCCCCAAAAATTTCCAGTACTGCTCAGTGTCTTATCAAGGGCAGCTCTGGGCCTAAGTAAAGTGAGGTACGTGTCATAATAGGTATTTAAGTGAGCTCATATCAACTTACTTTAGCAACAATGGAAGTTCACTTGTGAGACATGTATGACGCTGGAAGTCATTTTTTTATTTAAAAATTTAAATCCCCTATTAATTTCACAAAAAGAAACACTATTCTATAAACAATCCCTTAGCATAGTTGGATTATCACTGCTCTGTAAATAAAAAAATGTATAACAAATTTGAACTGGACATAACCATTTTTTATTTCCACCAGAATAATAATATATTTATACTTCTTTGTGATCAGAAAAATATGAATGTAGGGTTGTCAGGTTTAGAAAACAAAACTAGATGTTTCAGTTTAATTTAAATTTCAGATACACACCAGATAATTTAAATGTCCCATTGTTACTATATAGGACGTGTGATAGCTTGTTTCTCATAGGCCTGCCTGATTTTTTTTCCCTTAAAATATGACACCTCATTTTATATTTCTTTCTGCTAGATGGGTATGTTGGCAATGTTCTTCTTCAACAATCTACTGTTATGCTGAAAACCAAAGTTACATTTTGCAGTGGTCTGGTGAATTTCCTTTTCACCGTCTCTGGTGATTTCAAGGAGTACCTACTCGTGATGCTTCCTGATGTCAGAGCTAGGGTGGGGCAGAGCCAGGTTGAAGTCCTGCTCACTTTCCCTCACAGAGAGTAGTTTAGTCACAAGTAGACAAGGGAGTCTGGACTATTAATGAAAATATTACCAGTAACTTGGATTTAGAGTACTTTCCCTTTGAAGATGTAATTAATAATTCTTCACTTATTTAAGGTGGATTGAGGAAAAAAAATAATCTTTAAACCAGTTAACTGTTCAGGCCTCCCCTGTCACGTAAGTTTAACTGAGTGCACCGGAGATTTATGGGGCTCTTCCTTTCCGTGAATATGAAACAATGAGATCAAAGACATATCCTCAGTTGACGTCATAGTTGTCCAGTCTAGTGGGCCACAGCGTACACATGGTTATGATCTTTATTTAGGTTTAACTGTGATCTTGGAGTTTGTTTTTGCAAAGAATAGCCTTCCAGGATGCATGGTAGGCATTAGTTCTAGAAAAAACTTCAGCAATTCCGCTGGGTTTTTCTAGGGTAAAGTACACCCTCCTCTCTGACTCCCCACCTACATACACAATCAGGGGGATTTTATTGTTTTTCTATACAATTTAATGCAGCTGGCAAAACACTCTTCTCTTGCCTTATGGCAGACATTCTCTAATTCATTTAATGCTATCTACCTTAAAGGGGATACAGTGTCTTAATACTTTACTCTCTAGTTCCTTAAATCTTTCAGAGGTTTATGGCACTGAATCCCTAATTAGTATATCACTGAATAGCTCTTATGAACTTAAAAGGAACTTCTGTGCAACAATCCTGCTGATGGTTGTTTGCAGAGGTGGAGTATCCCCCTCCAGGGCTTTGTCATGTCTGTTACTTATGTACTTGGCTACTAATAAAATTATACAATTACCTAATTTTCAGCATAGATATTTCTGTCATTTGCACTAGAAACCTCTTATGTCAATCTCAAGTGAGCATTAAAAATGCTGTTAGTTTTAAAAATCATGAAGACAAAAAAATAATGATCAGAGAAATCCCATTACTAACAGTAATATACACTAAAACACTCAGAGAAAAATTATATTAAAGTGTTAAAAAATCTATTACTGCTACCAATATCACATTCTTTGAACTATTTGGACATTGTGAACTAGGTTTTTATTCATTATGTATCAGGAAAAAGTTCCAATAATAGGTGTATAAACAGTAATATAAAACTAGGGTTGCTCATTGGTTAAAAACTTTCCTTCTGGGCCGGCCGAGTGGCGCGTTGGTTAAGAGCTGACTTGGGACACCAGCTCTGAGCAGCAGGGCCCCAGTTTGGATCCCACAGATGAGGGCCAGTGACGCTGCCCTCTACGGCTGAGATGTTGAACAACAGCTCAACCTGGAGCTGGGCTGCCGTGAGTCACCCGCGAGGGCATAGGCTACAGCCACTGCTGCAGTGGGTTGCCATGGGCTACCGTGTAGCCAGCAGCCAGCGTGAGCAGCCGTCCAGAAGCCGGTGACTGACCTGCCTCGCCCGGGAGCGCAATGATGGTGCCAACTTGGGCCAGTGAAGCAATGTCCTCCACAACTAGAGTGAAGAACAAAAGGACAGCAACTTGTCTGTTCTCCTTCCCCCAATTCCCTAGCGCTGTTCCCAGCCCCCAATTCCCCAATAAAAATCTTTAAAAAAAAAAACCAAAAAACTTTCCTTCTGTAAATATCTTAGTTTAGTACAACAAATATTTATTGAATAATGAAGGCATGACATTGAATAGTAACTAAAAAGTGCTTTATGGATACAAAATGAGTAAAAACTATTTCCTGACTTGAAGGAGTATATAATTTAAGTGATATGGAACAAATATGTCAGTAACTTACTGAGAAGGCACAGTGTACTTAACAACAGAGAGGAAAATACTATGTGGGTTCAAAGGATACTTGGTTGGGGTAATACAAAGAAAGCTATAAAGAGGGAAATAGAATTTAAATGTCTTCAAAGATGAGTAGGATTTGATACCAGGCAAAGACTAACAAAGAAGAGTTTCAGAAAGAGGAGACAGACAGACTTGTTCCATAACTTTGTGTAGTCCAGGTTAGCTGGAGTATTTGTGTGCAGGTTCAGAGCACAGGGGAAACGAGGCTAAAATGTTGATAAGACCTATTGTGGAGAAATTTGAATGAAGGAAATTTAACCTTAATAGTCACCTTTGGAGATCCACCAACAGATTTTGAGTTGGAGGTGTCAATTGGTTTACTGAAACAAAAAGGCAATAAAAAAAGAAAATCAATGAGGCTACTGCAATTATATAGATGAGAACTGATGAGAGCCAGAATTAGTGACTAACTTTACAAGTGTTGTTACAAAAACAAGTGTTGTTTTCCTTTATTAAAGTTGACTCCTGGAAAACTAGATAGAGCACTTTCTCAGTTGCACCGCAATAAGACAAAAGTTCCACTGTAACAAAATTCAAAAGTTTATTTTTTCAAAACTTAACTATATTAATGAAAATAAATAATATTTAGACCATCTTTAATATTCGTGCATCATCTTTATAGAACTATGCTTTCAAAAGTCATGTTGTAAAAGACATCAATTTCACAACTAGAACATGTATTAAAAATTAGGGAACACTGGAGAACCTTAGTCAGAAATATATCTCATAATGCTGAGATTTATGCTGGTTTTTATCAAATTAACTATATTTGTATTCAAAATAACACGGCTTTTAACTAAAGACAATTATTTCTTGTCCATTTCGGTGATTTCCTGGATCCAATACAAAATCTGTGTATTTATTTCTTTGAAAACATCATTTGTTGACCGTCCTTTCACTGCCATGGAATGATTTGCCTTGTCAATCCAGTGGATTTTATTAGGAGCTTGCATTTTCTGTGCCACTTTCTCCAACAAGTTCTAAAGGAAAAAAAAAAAAAAAAGAGGATACTAGACTAATGTCCAATAAACATCCTCTCTCCCCAGCCCCACCTATACTAGCATCCATTCACTAAATATTCATTAAATACGTACTCTACAAACAACTTTTGAGGCAATGGAAATGTGCAAGGAAATGTCCACAGAAGTGGCAGGCAGTCCACATCTTTCAGATACAGCCATACTACAGGACAAATATTCATTATTATGATAAAAATTAAGTAAACTGGAGAAAAAAAATTCTTCTAAAAATATTTTTCTCAAGGAAATTATATGCTTTGGGAAATACATTAATATTTACTAATATGTACAAGTTACTGATTTTTTTCTCGAGTCAATTTTATAAAAAATTAAAGCATCTGCTTGAATGTTGAAACGATAAACCAAATGTACAGTCTAGAACTCCCCAGACCACAAGATTCAGATTAATCCTTTATTTCCCAAGTATGAGTAAATTTATTTACCAACTCTCTTTCCAGAGAAATGAATTTTGTCATTATGCTTATATTTTTTAGGTTTTCCAAAGCAATGGGGTAACTAAGGTACCAATCTAGCACTAGTCAAATCAGCATCATTTTAAAGACTGAATGCTGCAGGTAATAATATCTTGTTCCTAAGATGTTTTTTTCCCAGTCTTTTATTTTCACACAAATAATGAAGTTGTGAATCACCTTTTCACACATTTCATCTGCTGCGCCCGACACAAATAGTACAGGGTCTTTTATACGAAAGAGATCTTCATCTCTAAGTTTATGCTGCTGCTTTGGATGGTGCAGTGGATAAGAAATACAAATAAGACCTCGAACGAAATCATCAGCATCATCTGGCTCAATATGACACATTACAGAAGCAGCTGCTCTTGAGCCCATTGAACGACCTAAAATCAATTAAAATTAAGTTCAGTTTGAAGTATAAACATTCATATAAAGTTGTGGTGATAATGTAGCAAATTAGATTTCATTTAGTATTCATATTTATATATCAACAAATTACTTTACTCCACAAAGTGGCAATTAACAAGTTGGAATACCCATAATGGACACCTATATCCTTGTGAAGTAATAAAAAAGAATCCCAGGTCAAAATTATTTTAAAAATAAATTATTTTTCTGAAGGATCGTGAGGACAATCCTCATTAAGGGATTTTTTTGTGAGAAGGTGAACCAGGGATATAAATAAAAGGAGAAGTCTTTGGGTTACAATATATGACGTTTACATTTGCTTTAAATATATAAACTACCTTGATGTGATTGATACAAGGAAATGACTTACCAAACCAAAAAAAAAAAAATCCTTAAATTAGTTCCTGTCATCAATAAATTTTAATTCTCAATTACCTATTCCTATATTATTAATAGCAGATTTAAAAACAAGTTTTCACGAGTATTGCAACTTACCTCCAAGGAAAACACCGGCAAGTTTGTATTCTCCTGAGGTCTTTAGGTAACTCTAGAAAAGTCAACCAAAAAATTATCAACTCTTCTCCTATATAATACTTCACTGGAAAATCAACATATATTTCTCATCATTGCTGAAACGTAGAAAAATCTTTGCAAAGACAAGCACAAATCTTAAGGGATTCTTCTTGAAAGAATGAACCAGTTCTTTGCTCTTCTGGTCATGCCTTCACTATCAAATCATATGCTGGGTAATACAGGCAAATATGTGAGCAAAAAAATCACTTCACCTGTCTAAAAAATTCAACTACTATTGTAAAATATTTTTTAAAAGAACAAATTACATTAAAAAAAAGGCCAGTAAAAGATTCCCAACTAATGTAGAACCTGAAAATAATAATAATAACATCTAATTTAAAGCTCTGAAAAATTTGACAAGCTTGAAATAATTTGGATTTAAAGAAATTTCAAATGTGCTTTATCTAGGGATTTTATAGTTTCTAAATAACATGTATAAAAATCCAAGCTCTATTTGTATATTCATAGTATAGTAGGCAAAATATCCAGAACTATATTCTAAAGTTACATACTTCCAATAAGAAAATTATATCATAAATGGCTTCCTTGGCAGTATCATGGAGGAACATTTGTGTTGTGGGCATTCATCTCCAGGGAAACGTCATTTACTGCTGAATTTCCAAGAATACTCATTAAAAGATTTTTAAATTAAATGGCTTCTAACAAAATTTGTCTTAAATTAAGAATTTTAAAACAGAATTCTGTTATAAGTAAATATAAAGAAATTTTCTTACCAAAACTGATTTATATGCCTTAATTCTATGTACAATATTAAGGCCTTTACAGGTAAATCTCAGGCAAAAAAACCCATGAGATGCAAGATGGGATGCCAGTGACATCAAATGAGGAAGATTCATATCTCCTGATGCTCCATGTGTAAGAATTATTCCATATGTTAAGCTCTTGTTAGGTACCAAACAAACAGCATCTAGTAACTTATTTCCAAAAGGTATTTTTAATTTAACCTGGAATTCAAGAAAATAAAGGGATCAAAAATTACTTCCTTGCCTATTCAGACAACTGAATAACTAACTATATGTCTGTTCTGCAAGGCCCATGAATCAAGTTTTGACCTCCAAATAAAAAGCAATGATATTAATAGCTAATATTTAAGAAGTGCTTATGTGTCAGGTACTATTATAAGTTCTTTATATGTATTAACTCAACCTTCCTAATAATTCTAAGAGGCAAATACTATTATTATCTCCACTTTATAGAGGAGAAAACTGAGGCACAGTCGGTTAAGTAACATGTCCAAAGTTATATAGCCACTAGCTAGGATTCAAACTTGGGCAATTTGCTCCAGTCTCACTCTAAACCACTAATGCTATACTGTCTCTCATAGTTCAAGTTGAAAATAAGAAAACTACTCTGGAGCCATATGACTACAAAAAAAAGACAGAAAGAAATCCTGAAGATGCAGAACATATGAAAATATGTATTACCTCGGTATGACTCATTTTCACTGTTGAATAACAAACTTGAAGTGCATTACATCTGAGAAGCAAAGGACATCTCCCTGAAAAGAAGATTCTGTTGTGAAAGATGGGTTGGCAGACATGGGTATAAGAACTATGAATGAACACATGCAGTAGCTGAAATAATCACATTTAGAACTACTTCTCTAACCTAATATCTTTACATGTGCATTATTTGATTAATTATTTTCAAGGTTCCTATGGGCATTCAAAACCGGTTATAGGGCCAGGTATGGGGCTGGCATAATATAAAGCCATTGTGATACCTTAACACGGAAACCTTAAGAACACTCATATCTAAGTAGGATGCTGTATGTTGGCACACATATACATATTTTTCTAAGCATCTTTATTCTCAACCAACTATCTTTAACTTGACTTCACAGCATCTTTCTATTAACCCATTTCCTTTATCATTATCATTCTCAACTCTTCCTCCCACCCTGCAATAGGAGTATACATCCACACCCTTTGGCATGTGACGCTGCAGAGACTCCTAGTAAAGGAGTGTGAATCTCCACCCTGTTGACTTTGGGCTTGGCTATGGGACTTGCTTTAACTAATGGGCTATACATAAAGGTTTCAGTGTGCCACTTATGAATAGAGGCATGGCAAATTTAAAGAGGCCCTCTTGAATTCTCACCCTCAGCCATGAGAAAAGCATGCTGCAGATATTTTTGGGTTTTTAGCCTGGGCCCCAGCATGAAGACATATGGAGCAGATATGAACATAACACTAAAGTCTGGAGTCTAGCCAAGATCTACACAATTGAAGAACCATGAAATGTTGACCTGAAGAACCAAGAGCATGAAATGTAAGCCACTGAGATTTTGTTATACAGCATTCCTTCCTACTTTAAATCTTTTATTGTTTAGGACATTATCAGCATCAGGAGCTCCATCGTTCATCTCTTTTTCCCATTAACGTTTTATTCATTCATTCATTCATTGAATAGATAACATGATTCAAGGTTCAAAAGGTACCAAAAATATACAGTGAGATGTCTCCCTTATTACATTTTTGCCTACCACCCAGATCTCCTCTCCAAACTCACCAATATTACCTGCTTCTTGCATATATCTTTCCAGATATTTTATATATTTATATATCACACACACACAACCCTCCATTTTCTTTTTATAAACTGGTGATATTTTTTCTGACCCTTTCCCCCCCCACTTAACATATATCTTGGTGATTACTCTTTTCTTTATACAATGAGATTATTTCTTATGGCTGCAGAATATTCCAAGGAAGGGTTGACCTAGTTTATCTCACCATCTATTAATGAACACTGAGACTGTTTTCAATCTTTTGCTAAAATAGTATTGCAACGAGTAGCACTGTGCTTACATTATTTTCAAATGTGTACAGATATATCTATATGATAAATTCCTAGAAAGGAATTGCTGTGCCAAAGGATACTCGTATTCACTTGTGATTAATTTAAGAAACACATTTCATTTTTCAATGAGTAATATATGTACATGGTACAAAATTTTAAAAGAACAAAATGTAAATAAAGTCTCCTCACATTCTTTTCCGCCAGCCAACAAGTTCCTTTCCCTTCCTATAAGCAACCACTATGATCAACTTACGGTGTAGGTTTCCTTCTATGTGTATGTGTGTGTACAATTCTCCTTTTTGAGCCTGAAGGGTGTTAGTCTGGCTGCAAAAGTTCTGAGATTTGAGTGGGAGGAGGATGCAGGACTTTAGCTTCAGTGTCCATTTTCATAAATGTAGCCCCATAATTAACTGTAACTGGGGTCCCCCGTTTCAAAGATCCTGTTTTAAGTTCTCAAGAGAATAAAGCCTCTCATCTTCTAATGGGAGAAAGGCAGTCACCTAACAGTGTGACACAGGGAAGGAGATCTCGATATCTAATAGCTTTTCAAACAAACTTCACCTCCGTCATCTTTACTGAAGCCCTCCACATCCATCCTTAGCACCTTTACCTGCACTGCCAGCTCCCGAGGTGTCCGCCCAGGGCTGCCGGTGTCTGTGCATTCTGAAGATTCGGTGGTTTACACAGAATTGCTGCACAGTATTCCCTGCTGCTGGTTCAGAATTAAGCTAAGATTTGCTAAGACATTTGCTTTCAAGTAACCCAATATTTTATTGCTATTGGTTCCTTCCCATTCTCTCCATTCCTATGGGTTTAGATCTTAAAAAAAAAATCCCTTTAATTTTAGTGAGATTTCAGGAAGGAGTAAAATTAGATACATGTATTCAATCCACGGCCTTAACACCCAGAACGCTCTAAAATTCCTCAGCAGCTTGGGTTTTTGCGTGTTTGCTTTCATGACACGTCCACGCCTTTCCAGACTTCCTGAGGACCTGTCTGTGCTTCATACCCGGCGTCCGAGTTCGGGACCACTTCCGAAACACCCAACCCGTCCCTACCGAGACCCCTGCCGCGACCTGTCGAGGCGGCCCAGGTTGTAGCCTTTGGCTCTGGCTCCCTACAGAGCGGGGTCTGACACCTGGCTCGGCCTCCAGATCTTCATCCGCGAACGGGGAAAGCACCACCGACCTCAGGGATGCTGCGGGGATCAGGGGACAGTCTCTGTCCTGTGGCGGTGTCCCCGCGTCGTCGGCACTCAAGAGTGACTTTTATGACTGCTACTACTCTGAGCGCCCTGAGCGATCACATCTGACGCCGAGGGACCAAGCCGCCACCACCACTGTAACTTGCAGTTAGAAAAAGGCCTGTGAACCAGCGATGACTTCCACGGCAGTGTGCTGGGAGCCACGGGGCAAACGCAAACGTTACGCGTCCAGGCTCCCAGGGCGGCGGACAATCTGGCCCCGGGGTCGGCACCACCAAGCCGGACCAGGGTAAAAAGGTGAAGCGGGGTTTGGAATTTCAAAGGCACCTGACAAACCGCTTCTTCACTCAAACGCCGCGCGCGTGCCCCGGGCTGTGCGGCGGCCGCTCACAGCTCGCAGGCGGTTTCCAGCCGGCCGCCTGGGACAGGCTCTTGGGACCCGGGCTGAACCCGTTCAGCTTTCCCCACCCTCGCCATCCCCACATTCGGGCCTCCTAAGCGCCCAGGGGGACGGAGCCCCAGCGGCGGGTGCCCGTGAGCACCGAACTTACACCGAACGCCTCAGGAAGCCGGCCAACTGCCCAAGAGGCGACGGCCGGCCGGGAGCCCGAGATACCTCAGGCGGGGCCGGCAGGCACACTAGCACGAGCTTGGGCGACCACTTTCCGCTTGGTAGCGCCAACCGCCGCCGCCACACTTACCGGGGAAGGGGAAGTGGCCAGCAGCAGCCCGCAACCGCCCTCACTCCCTTCAGAGAGCAAACTACCACGCTCGAAGTGACCGCCTTGCCGTACCGCCGGAGCGTTCCGTTACCCCGCATGCGCGCGCAGGCCCCGCCCCTGAGCGTGCTGGCCTGCGCGCGGGGCACGCTGGGGGCGGGAGTTTTCCCGCGGCTGTCCACCGTGACAGGGCCGGGGCGGCTGGCAAACATATGTGCGGCTGACGAGCAACCTCCAGCTGCTGCCTCGCCGCCAACTCGTTCCGCTCTAGGTCCGTCCCTATCCCAGTCACTCCATTCTCGCAGTTGCACAGGTCAAAACGTGGGGATCAACGCTAATTATTCACTTTATCACACCCCACAATGAATCGATCCCATTGGCTCTATTTGCAAATACATATAGAATTCAACCGCTTCTCATACCAGACCAGTCAGAGCCCCATCATCTTTGCCTGGATTACCGAAATAGTCTGCTAGATGGTCTCTTGTCCCCTCCCCCAGCCCCTCTTGCTATGTTGTCAATACAGTGGGCAATGGGACCCTGTTGAAATACAAACCATTTGGCTCAACATTTTGCCCATAATTAAAGGCCAAAGGCCTTACCAAGGGTTTATGTGGTCGGTCCCCTCACTTCTTATCTTGCTATTTCCTATTCTCCTTTCCCTGGCTCCTTCAGCTCTAGGCACCCAGGCCTCATTTCTATCCTCACATCCAAACCCACTAGACATGGACCCACTACAGGCTTTTCGTCCCGGCTGTTCCCTCTTCTTAGTGAGATCCCCGTGGCTAGCCCTGCATGTCTTCACGCACATATCAGTTGCTCAGTGAGGCCTTCCCTAATTACCTTCCTACCCTTCCCATCCTTCTACCCTAGTCACCTAGCATAACATGGAGTGTCTTGGTCTCCTCGCTAGACTGTACACTCCCCATGAAGGCAGGGTATTTTGTTGTTTTACCTTCAGTCTCCTGTGTATGAACTAATGCCTGACAAATCAGTATTTCTTGAATGAATGCATCTTCCCCAAGCCTAGTGCAGTTGGTAAATGCCCACTTTTTTGTCACAGCACATGAATGAAATAAAATCCAGAAAACCACTTGTCATTTACCTCATTCGTGTGGACGGAAAAGGGGCCACACGTAAAAACTGACAAGCTCAGGAGACTGCAAATAACCACATAGGATGGCATGAACATAAAAATTCCTAACTAAGGTGGGCCATGGCGGGGAAGTCAAATCCTTGGCCTGTAGTTTCCTTGACAAAGGTCAATCTTTACCTTGAGCCTGTCTGTAGTCTTTTTGCATCTAAGATAACATACCCTTGCAGTATCAGAGTAATCTCTTTTTTCAGACCCCCCAGGGGCACAACCCACCACACCAGAGCAGGAATCTACAAAATCCCTCATTGTTATCTTGTTCCCCAAATACTATCTCTATGTGCTGTAAAATGCTATTAACTATGCTGTACCCACCAATGTAAAAGAAGTGTGTGGCTCTCCATTTTACTTTTTATCCAGTCCCACAGATTTCCCCGCTTTGCTTTCTCCCACCCCCTTAATCTACAACCAAAGGATTTCATGTAATTCTCCTCCTTTGATTCTAATGTATAAAATAAGTTGCACAACGGCCATTTTTCCGGAGCATTTTTTCAATCTGTTGAGACTTTGCTCCCAGCAATTGTCATCAGTTTAGCTCAAATAAACTCTTACAATCTTTCTCTTATGCTGGATGTTTTTTGTTGACAATTGTTTTCCTGAATTACAAATCTGAACATTTCTTGTCTCTTAATTTTCTAGCTATGCTTTTAAAAACAACCTTATTTACATGCCATAAATTCCACTCTAAGAGTACAATCTGATTTTCAGTAAACTTACAGTCAGCCGCACTGGAGGATGGGGGATTCCTGTTCAAAGGACTTAGCAGGGTTCTTGCTGTAACTGGATTTTTTTTTTTCTAAAAGATCCTTTTTTTTTTTTTTTAAGATTTTTATTGGGGAATTGGGGGGATGGGAACAGTGCTGGGGAACTGGGGGAAGGGGAACATACAAGTTGCTGTCATTTTTGTTCTTCAATCTAGTTGTGGAGGACGTTGCTTCACTGGCCCAAGTTGGCACCGTCATTGCGCTCTTCCCGGGTGAGGCAGATCAGTCGCCGGCTTCTGGACGGCCGCTCACTGCGGCTGCTGGCCGCTCACGCTGGCTGCTGGCCGCTCACGCTGGCTGCTGGCTACACACGGTAGCCCATGGCAACCCACTGCCAAAGGGGCTGCAGCCTACGCCGTCGCCGGCGCCGGCGCCACGGCAGCCCAGCTCCAGGTTGAGCTGTTGTTCAGCATCTTAGCTGTGGAGGGCAGTGTCACTGGCCCTCATATGTGTGATCTGAACCGGGGCCCTCTGGCATCCCAAGCGAGTTCTTAACCATCGCGCCACTCGGCCGGCCCTGTAACTGGATTTTATAAGGAAGTGCACTGTCTGACTAAAGTTTGTCAAGCAAAGAATCTTTGTCAGTAGTTACATGGATGTTTTCTTATAATTTTAAACTGCAGATACATATTTATATATTTCTCTATATAAAATACAATCCACAATTAAAAAAATTTCTAACAGATTATTTAACTGCAGGATGGATGGTAAAGGACCAGAAAAAGGACAAATAAAGGAACTAGAAATCCTAACACTGAACCATAATATAATGTTTTACAAATTCCTTGGATCTTTTGTAAAACTTTATATTATGGTTCAATGTTAGGATTTCTAGTTCCTTTTTAGTTCTCTTAATCACGTTTCAAAGTGATTTTCATTCAATCAGTCATTCAGCCATTCTAGTTAGTTGCAGGCACTCTATTAAATAGAAGAAGAGCATGGTCTCTGTAGTCAAGTTGATTAAAATATGGTAAGGAAGAGAGACAACCAATTACATCACTACCCCATAGCACTGTAAATACAATGATACAAGTATGCAGATGGGGAGATTCAGAGGGGTGATTCCTGAAATGAGCACTGAAGGCTATCTAAGCCAGAGGAAAACGAGAGGTCATGGCATTCCAGATCAAGGGGAAAGCATATTTGAGGAAGGTAAGAAAAGCCATCGAAAGAACAGTAAGGTTTTGGTTTTGCTAGACTACAGGGTACTTATTAGGAAGTGGTGAGAGGTTGCATTAAAGATTCAGGCAAAGAACAGATTATGGAAGGCCTTGTAAGATGAATTAGTTAGGTTTGGCTATGAGTGACTGATATCCAAAATAATAGTGTAAATAAGACAAACGTTTATTGCTTTGTCATGTATACCATGTGTCAAAGTGGGTGGTGGCTGCTGTGATGCTCCAATCTGAGTACAGGACCCACACAGATCCCCTCCTTGTCTCTCTCTCTGGAATCTTTATAAGAGCTTGTTTGAGCCAAGCTGATGACATTTGCAAGGGAGCTAGATCTCAAATGCTCCCCCAGACACCCTCTTTCCTTACTGCTCCATGGTCCAAACACAGCTAATAACTAGCATAACACAGGCCTTTAAAATAAAAATGGTTTTATTATAAAATTCTAAACGTGTGCTTTACAGGACAGTCATGGGAATACTGCATAATAAGAAGAAACATATTTTCATAACCCAGACAATCACATAGCAGATTTTATATTGTTCATGGAATTAATATTTAAAAAACATTCTTTTTTTTTTTTTCAGTTAAGAAGAGTCTTCAGAGCACCATTATTTGAAGGGAAGGTATTTTTCATATCAGAGTTCATCTTTGGTCTGCAATTAAGAAGCAAAATATTTAGAGCCATCAAAAAGTATCTATGAGTCAGGAAGACTTACATTAGTCTAGTAATGGTTTTCCCCTAAAGATGAAAGAAGGAAGAGAAACAGCCAAGTTACTGCCAGAGACTTGTAGGATCTAGGACTATTTTTGGAATCACCTAAGGGTAGAGTTACATTGTGTTTTATAGGGCTACTAATGTGGTACTCGAATATCTAAGGGTCTGTGTTACTGTAAAGGGCCTTGTGTTATGAATGGTATCAGTGAGGGGCTACGGTAGACAATGAGGAAGAAGTAAACAAAGCTGTCATTCTAGCCTCTAACTTCTACAACTCAGTGGAATCATTTGGCACCCCTTGAAATCACTTAGACAAAGATAAAAGATAAAAAGAGGAGTGGAGAAGGGAAGCTGCCCAGTTTCATTTGGAGCTCACAGAAGCATTCTGATACCAAATTATGAACTTGACGAGAGCGTACCTTTCAATTAGGGCAATTTGTTTTGTCACTGGCTTTAACTACTTTATGACTTTGCAGCACTGACAGGGGTTCAGGTTGATGACGTTCTACTTTAGAGGGCTAGTTAGTAGCAAATGAGTTCACAATACAAAACAAAACCAAAACAACCAAAACTCTAATTTGTTGCATGTGCTGTTGTCATGGTGTAAATACTCCCACCAGGCGGATTCCAAGCTACCAAAATTTAACAACTATGCAAAATTTTTAAATATCTAACAGTCATTGAACTTGTATGAGCTGGTTCCATCACACCACTGGGCCTCTGGTTACCTTATTCCTTTCAACTCCGCTTGAGAGACAGACATAATATTTGCCAAACCTGCCTTCTCATTTTTGGTTATAATACCACAATTTTCAGTTTATCCATTCAGAGACATGACGATGCTGCTTACAAAGTGTCAAGCCAACATATTATATATAATCATAATATATATAAAATCACAATTTTATACAATATACACTCCTACAAAGAGAAAACAACTATAATGAAAACAACTGTCCCCTCCTGCACTGTCTTCATACACAACCATGCACACAATTTGAAGATGAGGGATTGGTGTTTGGTCCTTGCTTTACTATAATCCAGATAGATGATTCTGAGCTAAGTTCTCCTTTGGGCTCAGTTTTGCTAACTGTAAAATGAAGGATGGATGACCTCTAAGTTCCTTTTTAGCCTGACAAGTCCATATGTGAATCTGCCTTTTCCAAACAAAATCAGTATAGAGTGGTATCAACAGAGATTGCTTTTCAATGAATAATCAATGAATAAAAACCGTTACATAAGTTTTCATCTCTGAATTGGAATGATAAACTTTGCCAAACCTATCTCAGAAGGAGGTGAGGCTATTAGGTGATGCATGTGAAAATATTTTTCAAACATTAAATAGCTACTCAAATGCCATGTGACTGAATTCTCAGATTAAAAAAGGCTTTCCTCTACTTTGCCAGGAACTCTTCTCACTTAACTGAATCTTAACGCCTTTTTGCCTTGTAATTCTCATCTGTATCATTCTATGAGAAGAGAATGAAGGCTCCAGGAGAAACTCAAATAGTTGTTGCCTGACTGAATGACTAAAGGAATGAATGAGGACTTGGATCAAAGTTCTTACTTGGGGCCGACCGAATGGCTCAGTTGGTTAAGAGCTTGCTCAAGTGGTTAGTTCTTACTCTGACATTGGCCAGTTGTGGTTACCTTTTTCCTAAGGCACGTGCAAGGAAAGAGGTCATCCTCCGTCTGTGGTTCTACCCTCTTCATGCCCTCTCGGATTTGGGGCTCACTCACTTGTAAATTGGCATATTCCTACATAGGTAACAATATAAAAACATTCCTTATATAATGCTTAAAGTACAATTACCAAATTAGGTATGCTAGAATTTGCTAGAATATGGTCCATTTAACTTACACATGTCAAGATATGCTATGCAAAGTCCTCCATACTCCCCTTAAACACCCAACAACAGAGCTTCTGAGAGGCAGCTGTTCTTTGGACCCTGACCACCTATTTCTAAGGGATTTCTCCAAATGTATCCTTCATTTAAACGACTTGTATTCACTTACTTAGTTTTTACTCCATTTTGCCTTGCAGTGAAAATAATGACACAATCTTCCCTAGACTGAGAATTTGAGGACAGAGACTATTTCTGCCTTACCCACCATGGCTTGCACAGCGTCAGTAACCATCTTCATTCATTATGTGCTCCCTGTTGCCAGGCTCTGGGCTAGGTTTGTATGTTCTAGTATGTAAATTGAATGAATGAGCAGTACCACGTAGATCTTTTGGAATTTAGATAGTGAATCCCTCCTGCTCCTTCAGTTTACACACTTCATCCTCTAGCCCTTCACCATTCCCTAGAAAAGGTTATAAAGGGGAAGGGGCCAGTGCAGATCAGGACAAAACCCAACATTCTTCTGTAGCAGTCTAATATATGGGGCTCAGCATCTGCAATCCTGAGATTTAAAAAACTTTAATTTAGATCTAGTACTACTACTAGCAAATCATTTGTTTACTATTGCATTAAAAAGAAAAAAAAATAACTTTCAAATTGTCAGATATGCTTTGATTACAATCCCTAAATGCTTAGGTCCATGAAAAGAATTTCCAAGAGAAGGCATGGCTCATATGGGTGCAACACAACAGTTATAAACATACCTTACACAATGTAGACAAAGAAATAGTATCGTGCTAAGAGAAAATGTGAATCTATGTACAGTAACTTTGCAAAATCAGATGCCAATTTCCTAACCACATACCACATAGTTCTAACGTTAATACTTTTCCCTTAATGTTAGAGCATTCTCTATTAGCTAATCTTTGTTTTTCTACTATTTTCATTATTTAATATTTGTCCCTGATTTTCTCCCACAGAGGTGTACATTTATCTCTGTATATTAATATACTTTTAGAAATTGTTAAGTGAAATATTATTTGCTACTAACATGACCAATTACATGTTGTATGTCTATTTTCTTAGAAAATACTGACCTGGAAAAGTTTAAAATAGTAACAGAATATGTCATCACCCATGAGATTATTTCTTGCAAATTCTTGTCCTGTTTTTGCTATCTTCTTTGCCTAAGGGAACAACAACAAAAAAATCGTTTAATGAAACATATCTTTTCACATGCAAACATAGGAAAACTGATCTTCAGAGTACATTTTAGTGGGACAGTATGTCGGAAAAATATATTTGGGGGTAGTCTTTCGTGGAACATTTAACAAGGTATGTTTGTTTAAATTAAAAGGAAGGGTTTTAAGACTTGAAAAGTTGAGAATTCATATTAGATCTAGAATTAAGCCTTTCTTGGAGAGAAAAGGTACACATTTAAATGAAGTAACAATGGCTTTGTAAAGTAAATGTAGGATGAAGCTTAATGCACTGCCTTAAAGATTTTTAGCAATTAGTTCGAAGTTTATATCATGAAATCTCTTTTTAATCCATAGCCACAGTTAGTGTTTCCTCCTGCCAGGCTGGCTATTTTAATTTTCATATTCTGGTAGCAGTGAGAGAGTGCTTGAGGCTCATATCAACCTGACTAGAAGAGAGAGCATAGTCAAGGCTAAGGTTTAGCTTTTTGTTTCATGAGCAGACTGGACAGTTACCGTATTTCCCCATGTATAAGATGTGCCCTTTTTCAAAAAATTTGGGGTCTAAAAACTGAGTGTGTCTTATACAATGGTTGTAGATTTTTTACTTGTATTTCCCACAAGTGATGAGGAGTTGTATGAATTTTATGATGAGTAAAACTTGAGTTCAATAACTTTACGTGATACATTTTTTTCAAATTTAGGGTCCCCAAATTAAGGTGCGTCTTATACATGGGAGCGTCTTATACATGGGAGCATCTTATACATGGGGAAATATGGTAATCCAAGCTTCAATGCCTGTGTTCATCCTGAGGGGAACTGTGCTAGCCATGGGGAGGTGGCTTCCCATTTACAGGTAAGAGTCTACATCTGAACGCTTCCTGAGCATCCCGAATGCTTTCCAGGCACAAGACATTTAAAATGAACCCATGACATTGGGGTACAAGGAGACTGACCTTACCTCTTCATCGTGATCTTTTGCCCATTTAAGTTTTTCTAGGAGATCGCTCAGGTTGCTTTTAACGGGAATGTAGTGTTTCCAGGGCTGCAGCTCATTATAAAAGTGTTCATAGTAGATGGAGTCCTGTTTCAGCACAACGCTGTCGCCGACAAGAAGATATGGCAGGCGATATGCCGCGACAGTGCCATCAATGTTTATTTGATACTTGTGCTGTGAACAGCAGTAAAGTATAAGGATCCCCATTAAATTTCCTTTGCCTCTACTCTCTTTATTTCTCCTCCCCTTTCCAGACAAAAAGCCTCACTGTCCTCAGATACAAACTGGTCAGATTTTGCCCTCCGCTTTCACCATTTAGGAAGTGCTATTATGTAACGGTGCTGACCTAGTAAAAGGCTTACTTTGATGCTCTCCTAAATTTCCCAAAGGGGCCACAAGTCTAATGTTGAAGCAGCCAATAAAATAATAAAACTGTTGTCCTCAGGCTACAACCTAAGGAAAGATAGATTTATGGTGACTTTGTAATCCCTCTACTACTTTATTGACCACATTCTATGATGGCACATTCTATGCCATGTTAACCATATATTTAAATATCAGATGACCACACACAAGTCTTAAGGAAATTAACAAGCTCTGAGACAAATACATCTATGAATAAAAATATTCATAGCACTGTGGTAATCACGAGTCTTTAGTTGTAGCCAATTCAACAGGTAGGAATATAACAAAGCCATGACAGAACACCCTGTGAGGGGGGATGGGTGGCATCAGCTCTCTTTGGTTTTAACCATTTCTTTAAAAAAATCTTTGCGATATGCATATGGCAACACCGACAATTCAACTAAGGAATTCTTTAGGTCTACCTGTTGCCACATAACCCATCAAAACAAAAAAACAAAAAAAACTTAGCCATATACAGCAGAGACAGAGCTCGCTAATCATTTGCCTTCCCACCTGTAGGACAGGTGACTACCTGTTGCCCACCATTTTTCCCACAAGGAACTTCAAAAACTACTCAGTAGAGAACAGGGCAGTGTCCTACTGCATGAAAAGTGGAGTTGTTAGAAAAAGGATCACTCCCCAGGAAACATGAGCAGTCCACATTCTAGATAGAGAAAGTGCTCTCCCTAATCCCCAGAATTCCCATGCAGACTATTTGGCTGGATTTCAATTCATTTCCCCACCAGAGGGCCTGATAAGAGGCACCTGGTTTATATTGTCCTTAGTCTATTGTCATGCCATGGCTCTGGGGAGAAGTATTTGTAAAATCGCTTATATGTATTTATTAATACAAAAAGGCTTTGGAGCTGAAATGTGCTTGAGGGTCAACTGGGGAAAATACTTTAGCTCTCCGCTGGCCCCAAGGTCCCTGATGTATATTTAATGCCAGGGGTGGGTACTGAGTACAGACTTAGGTTGCCAACCAGTCCCTGGGGTCCTATGTCTTGATAGTCACTAAGTTTTGTGCTCACTTCTCCTACCCCTTGTAATTTGCAGGCCTCTATTTCCCTCTCCCAAATGAAGATACAGTTGACCCTTTAAAAACATGGGGTGAGGGACACTGACTCTCCCCACTTCCCCAGTGCAGTCAAAATCGTGCATATAACTTTTGACTTGCCCAAAACAGTTGTCTCTTGGTATCCAAAGGGTATTGGTTTCAGGACCCCCGCCGACACCAAAATCTGCAGATGATCAAGTTCCTTATGTAAAATGGCATAGATCAATGCACATAGTCAGCCCTCCACATCTGCGGATTCCCAGCCTTGGATGAACATACCATTATACTGTTTTTGATCTATAGCTGGTTGAATCCATGGATATAAAACCTGGAGATATAGAAGGCTGACTGTACACTGAAAAAAATCTGCCCATAAGTGAACCCATGCAGTTCAAATCCATGTTGTTAAGGGTCAACTGTATTTGGAAAAATGAAAAAGGATTGGCCACAGATGATGTCATACCTTGAAGAAATCAAAAAATGAAATGTGTTTCACAATGGGGCCATATAGGCTTTCATCGTGTTTAAAGAAGAAAAAGTTGGTAAAGGCAGCATCTATGAGTTCTGGGTGTTTTCTGCTGAGTTTAACCAGCTCGAGTCTCTCTTTGCGGCTGTCTCGCCCTCTCCAGACAGCTGTGGAGTTTTTGCTTTCCCAGGGCGGACCCGTGTTAGCTTGCACAGACATCATATCCAGACTTACTCTGGAAGACAGAAAGTGCAACAGATTTTCCACCCAAACCATCACATCGCAAAGGCTGTTGGGAAAGAGCTCACCACAGAAAGAAAACCAAGGCTCTGGGTTATCTTTGACCCATCTCTCACCGGCCCATGGTTTCTAGAACAGAGTCAGTAAGGTCATAGGTAGGCATCACGATATCCTTAGAATCCGTGGAACCACACCAGGAAAAGATTGGATGGATGAGTGAACTGGATTTCTTTTTTTCCAAAGGCCAGTCTCCCAAATTAACAAAAAACTCCACATCTGGCATCTTCACCTAGAAAAAAGAAAACAAAGAGCTTATTCACATTTTGCATTGCATAATGCCTTCTATTGATCAACGTGTTGGGAAAAGCAGTCTCCTGTGTGCCGTGTTCCATGGCCAAATAAGAATAACCTAGGGCCTGGTACATGTCCTTACCAAGAGATAAAGAGCCCCCTCTCACAGTCTTGACTGGGTTTATCTCCTAGTGAGGAATATACTCTTTTCCTTCTGCTTAAATGCAGGGATCAGTGGCCCTCAGGCATGCCCTCAGCTTGCTGTGTCTCACATCCCACAGGAGGGGGTCAGGGAGCTTCCACTGCAGCAGAAAGTGGGAGGTGTGGTTGGCTGTAGAGTGGACTGGCTGGCCCTGGGAGATGGACACACTGAAAGGAGCTGAATCTAATGCACACTCCTTTGCTCTAAGTTAATGCTGGACCACGGGAGCCTGGTGGGCCTGTTGTCTGTTCTTATTAATCTGAAACCATGCACTGGTATCTTTCCTGGATGGCACTTACCTGCCTTTTAACCTTGGCCACACTTGTGTCATATTCTATATTGAAGTGCAACCTGACGACCCAGTGAGCAATGAAGCACAATAAAAATTAGAAATTGTACCAAAGGAAAGGCCAAGCTTCAGGTAAGGATAATTACCTTGCTTTGAACAGAATATTGTCATATGTGTAAGCATACTAGATTTCCTTTCTAGGGTGCTCAAATGGGCCAATTGACTTATTTCAATAGGGATGAAATGACAAAGGTAATCTCTGTTCTAATACTGACAAGAGACTCTAAGATGATCAAAGACAGAAAGAGAACTATAAAAAAATAACTACAATACACAGTACTTGGAACTATTAACTCTAGTTCCTGGTTAATAAGCCAGATGCTTCTATTTTAAAAATACACCCCAGATAGGTAATGGGACCAGGATTTGAACTTAGAAAGCCCAACACTAAAGCCAACACGAGTAACTTCCAAGCTAGACTGCCTCTACTGGCACACACAGGTTGAAAGAACCTGTTTTATCTAGCTATGGGAAAATGTTCGGGATATTTATAAAATAAGATATATATATATATATTTTAGACAAGAACAGAGCTGGTTAGTTTGAGAAGTATCTTGAGAAACTGGAGTCCTGAAGAACATTTTTATTTTCCCATGGATTGACACAGAGGAGCAAGAATAACTTGCCAGGCCTCTGATGCCTTAGCTTAAAGGAGGCAGAATACTAATGCTATATAAGTACCCAGGTTTGGAATTAACTCACTATAAATGTTTTGCAATCTTAAGAAAGGTACTATGATTTTCCATGAGTAATTCAGCCAAGATATACACACAGGTTATTCAATAAATAACTAGTGAGCAATTGATAAAAATGATGGTATAGTTTTTTTGTATCAGCCATTTTACTATCGCTGTCAAGAACTCCACTAGAATCTTGTTCAAGCACATTATACCAAGGAACAGGATACAGAATGTGACAAGTCTTCTTTGGGCTCAAAGTAGCTATAGTACCAAAATAATTTTATTGTAAGGCATTTTTTTCTCTAAGGTATTGTTATGGGCTGAGTGTGTCCCTCAAAAAGATATGCTGAAGTTCTAAATCCCAGTATCTCAGAAAGACCTTATCTGGAAATAGGGTTGTTGAAGAGGTAATTAGTTAAGATGTGATCGTACTGGAGTACGGTGGGCCTTTAATCCAGTATGACTGGTGTTCTTGTTAAAAGAGGTGAAGACATAAAGGCACAGAGGGATAGCTCCATGTGACGACAGACAGAAGACTGGACTGATACAGCTGCAAACCAAGGAATAACAAGGATTGCTGGCCACCACCAGAAGTCAGAAAAAGCCAAGGATGGGTTTTTCCCTATAGGTTTCAGAGGGAGCACAGCCCTGCTGACACCTTGATTTGGGACTTCTAGTCTCCAGAACTGTGAGAGAATATATTTCTGTTGTTTTAAGCCACCCAGTGTGTAGTATTTTGTTATAGCAGCCCTAGTTAATTAATACAGGTATCCCACGTAACATAAAACTCCAGAATAGTATTTTAATAAGGCTCCAGAATACAACAGCCCTGATATTGTTATTTTTATTTAGAAAAAAAAACAAACTATATTGTAAAACCTGGGCTTCAATTGTCTATTGTACATAAGAGAAAAAAAAACACTTACTTTTCTAGTCAAAGAAAGGAGTATGGCATCCATGAAAATTCTAAAACCTACATGTTCACCATGGGTCTTGATATAAACCTGAAAGAGAATCAAATGTTTATTACATGAGTCTAAAAGTACTAGTAGGCTTCACTGAGGTCAAGCTTATCACAATGATACAATGATTTTTAATAAAAGTATGTTGCTAGTTGTAGCCAAACGATCAAAACAAAACAAAACAATCACTAATACAAACACGTAAACTTCAACTATGAATTGTACCTTGTTATCCTTCAAGGTATAGTGACACAAGCTCTGCCTTTGTCCAAATCGCTTTGGGATTTCTGCTGCAATCTTTTCTGGATCAATGGTAGGAAAATGTGCCAGATCTCTCTGAATCTGAGCAATGGTTTCTGGGCAGTTCATCTCCTGTAGCCAGGCTGCACTATCTTCCAAAGGACAGTCACAGTTCTCATGGTAAACTGGCCCTAATTACACATAAGTAACAAATAATACAGTAGTGATTTTTACTCAGCATTTGAAACATGTAACAAATATCCATAATATGGCTTCATAAATTTTGCCTAGGTGATAGGAAGGGCATTTTGATATAAAAATATTTTGAAAGAAACATTTTTTTATTACAATGGAGCGTGACTTAGTAAGTCAGTATTTTGTTCTAACAGTTCTTCAAAGTGAAGGAGAGATTTTTTTCAGAGTCAGGCTTGCTTTGCAGTTCAAGAGAAAGCCAATGGGTACTATGTTTTGCTCACAGGGGCTACTATAGTGCATGATTCTTTATGTCTTCTGTACTTAAGAATAACCAAACATTGGTAAAAGGATATCAAAGGAGTATACTTGTTTTACTGAAAGACAGAAGTGATATGAAATTAATAATTCAATTATACAAACAGATTCTTAAAGTGTCTAAGGTATTTCCCTCAATGAGTAAATCATTGTCAATAACAAGACAAGTAAAGGACCCCTAAAAGGCTTGTTATTTTCTTTTTTAAAGAATTATTAAAAAAAGGTAATCTTCAAGGGCCGGCCGAGTGGCTCAGTTGGTTAAGAGCTCGCTCAAGAGTTTGAGCTCTGAGCAACAGCGGTTCGAGTCCAGCCCGAGCTGAGCAGCTGCTGAGCTGCCAACAGGTAGCAGGATGGCTCAGCTAAAA